TGGACAATCCCATTGTCAGGTCAATCAGATGATTCATCACCCTGGAACTGAGATGAATCATCTGTAGCTTAGTTATATTAGTGTATTTAGACAAACATGTCACTTTAGACCTTTATGATGATACAAGGCTGGGATGCACTGTCAAACCAAAAACCATATCAGTAACTTGTAGTCAGTTCATTTCTAAAGAATTGGGTTGAATAATTGTAGGTTGATTATATTAATGAGTGGAAAATATGTTTGACTTAAGCCTTCTATTGATATATCAATACCACTGGTCAAATTACATCCAAAGAATTTGGATGAATGCTTGTATTTTGTTAAAGTCAGAGCTTGTGGCCAGAGTTGTTATTGGAAAAGCAACAGTGCATCATGACCCTGGTCAAATCCTGCTCACTATCAGCATAACAGATAACAGACAATATTACAGTACAGTGCAGTCACAGAAAGAAAATGCTTTGTGTCCATCCAGTTAATCAGTTTAATAACCCCCATGCCGATCACTCTGGTACCAAAGCTGGAGCCTAGTAATGTGTTGGAAGCAAAGTGTCCACCATCAGCCAGCCATAATCGCAATCTCTCCCTGGGGAAATGAGAAGAGTTTGAGATTTCTTTCACACTCAATACCCAACTTGGCTTCATCATACTTTGATGGGATGGTTGGTCGTAGACAAAAGATACTCAACTCAGCGCCAGTGTCTGAGGGGGAATGTCAAAAAGATTTATTTGGAAATTAGATAAAATTTAATTAGCATCTGAGATTACAAGCTGGTTTTGCTCAAAGTGTTATTTTTCACAGTAGAGTGTGAGAATCAGAGTTGAGTGAGTTGATAAAGATATAGATGATACAATTCACATATTTATCAAAGCAGTGTCTGACTCTCTATTGGCTTTTTTAAAAAAAAAAAAACAGATAATTTACTCTTTCATACTTATACATACCACTTATTTCAATCCAGTTTTGTTTGTCACCTTGGCATGCTGGCCCTGTCAAACCTTTATACAGTACAGGCAGCTTTAGGCTTTACTCTGATGTAAAGCCCTTGGGGGGTATTTCATCATTTTGGTTCTTGAGGTTAGAGTTCTTCGAATTGGAAAGCAGATGTGAATATGGTTTCTTAACATGCCTGGGGGCACCACAACCAAAATGAAAAACATGAACTCATACAGTATTTAAGTTTCAAAAGTGTGTGCAATAACCAGTTTAAATTTTCATCAGTTTCCTCTCTCCTCTGTCATCTCCTCACCTACAGTATACCCAATATTAACAGTCTACTCAAAATGATACTTAGAATAAAATCATTAGCTTCTACATCAGGTTAAAATGATAGGTTGACCATTTTCTTCTTCTTATCTTAAAACAATACTGACATGCCCATATACTGGCTTTAAAGAATCCTCCTCCTAAAGCAATCAATATCTCTTCAGTCAACATGTAAGCATTCAAGTACTGTTTTAAGATAGACTAAAAAGAATATTTCACTCCCAAATGACCAGTTGTATATCAGTTGCTCACCCTGTGTCATGTTGAATTTGTGAAGAAAACTGTTTTTCTCGCATTCCTCTGGTGAACAAAGAATACAATATGATGAATTGAGGAGGCCTGTGTTTAACGACAGCCTAAGTATATCAAAACATCTCTTCACAAACTCTCACATAAGTCGTGCAGTATTATCCAAGTCTCATTTATCCAGTCGTATGTTCAGTACTTCTCAAACAGACGGCCCTTTCCGATGGGCACTTGACCTGAAAGCTAAACTTATTTATTCTTTCTTCAAAGCCAGACTACACTGACAAAAATAGTAATTTTACCTCACTGAACATGGGAGCTGCTGGTCTACCACTGCCTCGATTGGTAGTTTTTGGAGTTATTGTGTGACTTTAGAGAATCCAAATGTACTCTTTAAAACACAGAGGTCAAACGATAACACAAACAAACTAACTGATTGATGCAGCGGTAGACCAGCAGGTCCCATGTTCAGCGAGGTAAAATGACTGTTTTTGCCAATGGAGTCTGGCTTTTAATAGAGCTTAGATAAGGTTCACTTTTAGTTCAGTTCCCTGCTGATAGGGCTGTCTGTTTGGGAGGTACTGAGCGCATGCCTGGATGACACACTGTATATACTGCACCAGCTGCCTTAAAGTTTGTTAACAGATGTTTAAATATAGTTTTGCTGTTGTTAAGTGTGGACCCCTATAACTTCAATTCATCAGTCATTTTCTCAGTTTTTTGATTCTTCGTCCACTGGAGGCATGCGAGAAAAACAATGTGTTTTTTTTTTTTTTTTTTTAATGAATTCAACATAATTCAGGATGAGTATTTGATAAACAAATGGTCATTTGGGGGGTGAAGTATTACATTAAAAAATGTGAACCTATAATTTAATTAAACTAGATTCTGATTCAGATTAAGCCTTATCTTCCTACAAAGCTATTTCTATTGGTGAAGTATTCCAGTCAGTTGAATATTAGTGTAAGGCCTGGATGAATCCATGTGCATAAAAGCACCACATGTGGCTGGCTGGGTTTTCTCAGTGTCACAACAGTTGGATAAGTCACAGAGAGGCAAAACAGCTTCTTATTTTTCATTCTTGTTGTCCTACGTGTCCAGTTCATCTGTGTCACTGCTGGGTTTTTTTTTTTTTTTTTTTTTCTTCCACTGCCTGAGTCAGAGCAGTGATGAATTAAAACAAGAGCGGCAGTCGCTGTTTGAAGTTTGAGGAGAGACATTATTATGACTTCTCCCTTAGAGGTCAAGTTGAGCCACAGCGAGAGGGGGAGGAGCAGAGGGGTTAAAGGAGAGAGAAGTGTTGAAATAACAAATCAGTCCTTGCAGATGGTGCTGAGGGACAGCAGAGTGGGTTCACCACCACAATATTTTGACCATTATTAACACCAATGCAGTGCCACTCACAATCTTTAAGACAGGCTGATAAAACAAAAAAGTTCAAGAAGATTTGGAAGTTAAATTCAAATTAAAAGTTTACACCTTATACAGTGCCAGGTCACTTGAAGAGAGAGTGAGAGCGTAATGGCAGAAAATCCCACATTACAGTTATTTTCACTGTGATCTTAACTGGTCTTGATTATAATGTTAGTGCTGGTTAAGGGAATCATCTAGTAGTTCTCCACCCTCAGGCTCAACCTTAACCTCTGCCACCTGGCTGTTTACACCACTCTGCCACTTTCCCTGTGAGCAAGTCCGCTGAGCAGGAGATCTGAGAAATTATGTCATTTCCACTCAGCTGACAGGGAGAAGGGATGATCTTGAAGAAAGTGAATTCAGGCTTTGATTAAGAATGTTATTGTAAAGAAATCTGCCTTCAAACAGCGAGGAAAGACTACAGCGGAGAGAAACACAGAAGGTCCTGACCAGGGTCCCCTGTGCTCTTTGACCTCAGGAGTAATTTGTTTTTCTTTAGTCAGATTGGCTAAATGTTCGGCACATTGAGGCAACGAGCTAAAGTGTAAATCTTCAAAAACGTTTTTCAGTGTTACACTCTGGTCAAAATTCCTCTGGGAGTGTATTGAACCCCCCTACCCCACCTCACCCTTTCGTCTCCCCTGTCTCTCTAGACTCTCTCTCTCTCACATACATTCTTTGTCTTTCTCATGTTCTCTGTCCTCCCTTTCTAACTGTTGCGAGTTTGAAGTTGTGTTGGCAGCTGGGCTGACACAGAGAGTTCAGTCAGGTGGAAGGTCGGCCATGCTGCCTCAGGAGGGGAGAAGGCTTTAGATCTCTGTACGTATTTATGATTCTGCTCCTGTATTGTGACCATAATCTCATGACAACACTCACATTGTTTGACAAATGAGTTTCCTTGTCATGTAGCACTCTGTGATGCTCTGTGTATGACCTCACTGTTGCACAGATGTGCTGTATGCATGGATGGACATTTGACCAGCCCACATGCCTTTTGTGCTGTGTGCATGGATTTACATGGAGGGGGCAGGTAGCAAAGGCTGCAGCAATATGTACTTCGCAGGGCTCAGCGCTAAATTTTAATCTTAATCTGCTTCACCTTTGTGAACACATGCAGCACCGTTATGTGCAGTGTTGTCACATGCAGTGTGGTCTGGATTCAGTTCTGACTGTAACAGTAATATCTGAATATTATTAATGCACCAAATATTATACATTTAGCACGTTTTGCTGCTTGCTGTCCCTATTTTTCCAAATGTTAAAATGCGGGTACCACTATTGGCAACCAAAGGCCAAGAATTGGTTGCCTGCTTTTCAGAGTAGTTGCCAGTGACAACCTGGCAACCATTACTGTTGTGCCCTGCTTCATGAAACCTAAGTTAGAGTTTTGCCCTCCCTAATACTGTGTAATGGAGAAAGCATCTAAAACACTCGTCTGTGGACTGTCTGCAGATACAGATGTAGTGATCTTAGAAATCATGTTTTTTTTTTTTTTTTACATATTTTAGCCCCTCTGCCATGTTGTGGCCCACAGTACAAGGAATTATGTGGAAAATGGTCGGAAAATTGCCACCATTGTAAAGTAGTTTGGATGTCAAATGGTAGGACAACGTCTGTTTATTGCTGTCCTCCCAAGTCTGTGTGTTTACACCCAGCCACACACATGGATGTGCTCCACGTTGAAGTGATGGATAATATGAAGCTGAAAAGGTTGAGAGCCAAACTATCTGACTCTTATTTAGACGTGTGGAGAACAGAGCCTTCCACATCCAACCGCACAAGTACACACACACACATGCAGCCATAATGAGCTTCCACATCAGCTGTTTTCCACCAGCCAGTTTATTGTGTGCGACCTTCCATTTCTACTTCCAACAGCAGCAGGTCTGTTCAGCACCAGTAAACAGGAACTTTGTTGTCTCCCTTTTTCGCCCTACCAAAACCTTCTAAACAAAGAACTTGTTGTTTACTTGCCTTTTGCTCGAGGATAAATAAAGGGCAAGGAGACTAACCTCTGATGTCTGGTGTCTTCTGTCTCTGTTTGTATGTGTGTGTCCTGCTCTGTCCCATCCTGCAGCTGCTGCACATCTGCATCGAGGGATGGGGAAACTGGCGCTGGTCAGAGGCCTTCAGCGTGGACAACGTAGGAACTCTGCTGAGGACCATTCAGTACAAAGGACGCACAGCTTCACTCATCATCAAGGTGGTGCAGCTCAACGGTGTCCAGAAACAGGTACAGTCAGTTTTTACTAAACCCGCTGTCTGTTTTGTTTTTGTTTTGTAGCAAGAAAAAACACACAAAATCTCTTACATACAAACTTGGAGAAATAAGAAAAGAACATTTTGTAGACATTATTGACATACAGACATTTTTAATTCAATTTAAATCTGCTACATTAAATACATGTCTATTTTTCTACTAGATATAATACACAAATGTGACAAGTATTACATTTGGTGTTCTAATAACATGTTTGTTTTGCCAAAAAACAAACAAACAAAAAAAAAACTAAAGGAGCTGTATAAGACATTCAGAGTATTACTGTAACGGCAAACCACTATTTGCTATGCAAAGATATAGTTAAGTAATGGCATCCTGAGCAGTGAAGGAAGTCACACTACCTCCGTTTGTGTTGTAATCCGAGCTTCTCTGTTCTTTGTTGTGGTGAACGGTTCAGCTGAGTCCGCGTGTGTATCCCACTGGCTAGCTAATTGCTGCCACGCTGCACTGCACTCATACGGCAGTTACCGCTGATAACGACATTCTGCTGGTGTGTGTTGGGATGGTGTTGTCACAGAAGTGTAGCGCTGACCCTCCGGTTCCCCCCACATTAACACAGTTATCTCTTTTAGCACCGTTGCCATTGTTAGTACTGTTCACGCTGTTACTGTTAGCTGCCAACCATCGGCTCAGCCACCTCCATGAGACCCATGTGCAGAAAATCCTGACTCAGACTCTGAATCATAGACATGTCTGCGTGTCACATACAGCTTTACACAGAATCTCTACCTTATGGCTTTTTCTGTCTTTATCACTGGATGGCGCTGGCTCATTTGTCATAGACTTGTCATGTATTTCCTGGTAAATAAAAATCATCCTGCATACAAAAAGTTTTACTTTTTAAATTTCTTATACAAGCCTCAAAGTCAACAGATTAATTATAGAACTTTGTATTTATCTTTAGCAATAAACAGAAAGACAGTGTTAACTGTTGTCTGACCAGGAGATTCACAGTACTGGCAACACTTTTAATTGACGAGTGTAGATTTGTGGTTAAGTTAGACCACAGCAATAATCAAGAACCGAAATTTTGAACAAAACCAAGAATAAAGGAATCCATGTAACCCTTAAGAAAATAAGTGGTTCAGAACTACATAGAAAGCATAAACTTGTTTGCATCTTTATGCCTAGCATTTTTACCATTGTTCATTTTTAGATGAACACTTTTTTATCTCCATTTTTTCCCCCATTTGTTTGTTATGATTTAGTAGTTGCTCAGCTAACAACAGACTGTCTTCTGTTTTGTCAGTTTTCATAATCTGTTTTATAGCACTAAAACAAAAGCTTATGAGCTTGAAGCCATCCAAAAACACAATGTGACCCATCAATCCACACAGAAGATCACAGGAAATCATAAACCAAATCATAAACCAGCCGCGTTCCCCTTTTTACACCAAGAACAGCAGTGAATCATGTTTGGATTTTTCCACAAATACAAGGCAGGGTCGGTGTATTCCTGGATATGCAGAGATGCCATCGGATTACAGCGGTGACACTTTGTTATGTAAACAGTGTCAAGTGTCCCATATGTCTCCTTCTCGTCCTCCAGACAAAACAGACTCGGCCGCTCACATTCCTTCCCCCGTCTGTCCCAGACTTTGTTTACATCTTGTTCCCATTGGATCCAATGATAGGGTATGAGTGTTGGTCACATCCAATTCACAACACAAAGCCTCAGAGTGGGACAGCGGCTGCCACTACAGAGGAAGTTGGCTCCCGCCTGCGTGAGCATACCTCATCTTGTGTTTTTTTTTTGGGGGGGGGTCAGAGGTTCATCCTGGATGTGTCACACACTGCTGTACTGTCCTTCTCTGTCTAGCTCCCCTATGGTCTTTTATTGTGACGGCCTCTTTATCATTTATATTGGCACCTCATGTTGACTGCTGTTAAAAAAAATCCCCCTCGTATAAATCTCCCTCATATAAATACCGTACGCATCTGCACAAACACATGCATTGTGTAATTACACACACACACACACACACACACTGATGGCTGTGGGAGAACACATGTGAAGGCAGGAACATTAGGGCTGCTACTGACAATTACTATCATAATCAATTAATCTGCTGATTATTATTAATCATTGGTTGATCATCTGTAAAATGTAAAAAGTGATCAAATCTTGCACTGCAAAATTTTTTGCAGTGATATTGAGAAAGAGAAAAGCAACAATTCTTCTCATCTTTGTATTTCTCTCCGAAACAGACTCTTTGGCTGTTTTTTTTTTTGTTTGTTTGTTTGTTTGTTTTTTTGCTTTTTGCATATATACCTGTCAACTCAGAATGGAAGATGAAGATGGGCACCCAGGGAAACAAAGTGCATTATGGTTATTGTGTGTGTGTGTGTGTGTGTGTGTGTGTGTGTGTGTGTGTGTACGAATAAGCTAGCTGCTGACGTGAGTGTGTCTGTGAATGGATATAAAGTAATGATTGATGGTGAGATTCCCCTCATTAGGGGCCGAAATCTTTCTCTCCGAGATTATTGCAGAACACTCACAGCCATTCCTGTGCAGACATAAACACACACATACACACACATTCACTTGCACACAGAGAGTGGTGGAAGCAATCAGTTCTGAACACACTTAGATTTGTCAGTCCCATATGAGAGCTCCCTGATGACTGTGGCTGCTTTATGTATGTGTGTGTGTGGGCATGCATGCTTGCTTGTGCATGTGTCAGAAATATATACAGAAATAACACATACATAATGCATATGTCCACTCTGTGGTACATGACGCAACACTAAAGGAAACTCTGTGTGCATACTGTCTTTGGAGTGATGGACAGTGACCTTGGAAAGTGAATCAGGCAGTGAGGAAGCAATCAGGCTACATAGTAACCCTTTGATAAAAACATAAGGCAGCTATAGAGGCATCAGGCCCTGGGAATCATTTTAGTAACAGTGAAAGATGAATTTGAAGTTTTCCTGATCCGTGATGTTTGATGTTGGAGTACATTTCCCAGCATCAGTGAGTAGTTGACCAATGATGACTTTCCCTTATATGATCACAGGCAACAGGACATCTCTGTGTTCAAAGCTCAGTGTCTGTTGCCTCCTACAGTACATGAGATGAATTATTTTATTTTAATTGTGGCAATTCTCCCCTGTAACCATCTTCTCTCCAGGTAATAATCTGTGGACGGCAGGTGATGTGCAGCTACCTGACTCAGGACATTGAGCTGAGGGTGGTGCAGCACTACGTGGGGCCCGACAGTCAGACGGTGGTCAGGGAATACTGTGACTGCCTGGAAGCAGGGGCCAAGTTACCATCGTATGTGCTGGAGGATGCTGAGATGACAGAGTTGTGTGTGAGGGCCAGAGGAGATGAAGACTGGTCCCAGGATGTTCAGCTGGAGAGGAGGGAAAAGGGAAACAGCAGCTCTGTGGTACAGGTATAGTAACACAAACAGACTTTGACTGTGGAGTCACTGCACGGCCTTTAAGGTGAATACAGCCACAAGTCAGCCAGTGAAACTGATTTTCTATTTCCTAAAGACTCTTTACCGGTTTAGGCTACATTAGTTATTTTGAATGTCCTTTTTATAAAGATATGTTGGGTATGGATGTCGTGTACAAGACACAGAAGGTGCACACATTGCACACCACTACTCCCAACCGGCTCTCCAGCCCCACACACGTTTGGAGCTGGTGACTGGACCACCAACTGTGGCCGTATCCGCTTCTCCTGGGTGGCCACAGTGGCAGAGCTTCCACACTGCTACTCACAGTTAGAGAACAGATTGAGATCTTTCCCTCAGATAGGCTTACAAAGGCCCTCCAACGCATAACCCAACCATGTTGAGAGGCAGAAAATACAGTTTATGCTCTTTCATAACAACACTAACCAAAGACAGGAAACACTAGCTGATATGTGGGCACAGGGACAGGCTTTGAAGGCACTTTCACACCGCTGGATTAGTGCCAGACGATCACTCCTTCACTCCGTCCCTGCTGTTCTTGCTCCTGCTCTGTATTTTTCTTGTTCCCTGTCTTTGCCTGTCCCTCTCTCTTTGTTTGCTTCCTTTGTAAGTCCCATGCTGTTAACAGCTAGCCATACTACAGCTCCAGCTTCTGTGTGTGGGTCTGAACATCTCTGACTTCACTCCAACCTCCACTGTTATCTCTTCTCCTCAGATCAGCCATTCATTACACATATGGAGGGTTGGCTCCAAATGAGAGCGCTGCCTGGACTAGTAGCTGGGTCCTTAGATCTCTCTATCGCTGTCTGTCTCCTGCTATTTCACTCTCTCGTTTCCTCCCTTTCTTTTACTCTCTCGCCCACACACTGGCTTACTCATCTATCTTGTAGTTGTTAACTCCTCTTCTTTATTTACTTCATCCTCTGGCATTCAGCTTGTCCACCTGTTCCACTCTCTAACTCTCCCCCCTGTCAATGTCTGTCTCTCTTCTCATCTGTCTCCTGCTTATCTGTATCAGTAATCCATCTAAAGTAACTCCTCTACCTCGTATCTCACCTTCCTCCCCCTAACTCTTATTTTCAACATCTTTATTTTTGCCTCTGTCCTTAACTTTTGACAAAGTACAGGAGGTCAACTTGACCTTACCCCAGCGGTGAGTGTTTTTGGAGAATCAGGCCTATAGAGTGTCTGTTTCCCAAAGTTTCACTCCCTCATCCCAACAAGGCTGTTTTGCAAGGCTCATATCAAAACTAAATGTTCACTCTGTCTCTTTGCTCCACTCTGCTGTCCCCACCAGTACATGAAGTCCCCAGTCTGTCATAAACTAGACCACTTGTAATGTGCCTTGGCAACTTGAGGCTTTAATGAGGAGCTAGGAGCGAATGGGACAAACACCAGTGACACATTAAGAGTGCTCAGCCTTCGGTGGGCACATTCTCAGCCTTTAAATCTTGCTAAGATTTTACTGCCTGTAATGGCCCATTATCTGGCACTAACAGTTGTCAGTCGAGTCAGCCATGATATTGTGTTGCAAGGCTTTAGGGAGACTTAACTTTTAACTACTGAAAGAAGCCAAGACACAAAGTTTTTTAGGACAAAACATGATAATGCGTTACTGATGGAGGCCATAAACATTCTGTCATTGAGTGAGAGTCAGTAAAGCCATTGAAGTCATCAGATATCTATTTTTTTGCTTTGTAACCACAAACAAACACAATTGAGTCTCCCCCGAGTGTCCTTGATCAATCTTTTTTCTGTTAACCCTTTGCAATAATGGAAGGATATGAGACATACTGAAAAGTCTACATTTTCCTAAGCACAGCATAATTTCTGTATAAATATGTTTTATGAAAAGATTTTTATTCAACAGTTGGATTTATAAGTATTAAGACTATCAATAACAGCCAGTTTGTCTCTTTTCAGGTGCCATGCTCCAGTGGTTCTTTGCTCTATGTTTGGTGTACACTTATGACAATTGAGTCTGACTCTCACATGCAGCAGAGAGTGGTGAGTATCCCTGCACACACACACTTACATGCACAGTGTTTTTTTCCATATTGTGGCACAAAGTTGGGATTTTTTTCCTGATACTGTATCTGCTGTTACTATATGTATAGATTTCTCTAGCATTTGCAAGTAGGCCTGTCATGGTGATTATGTTATTGAATTATTATACAATACATGGACATGTCCTCAATCAGTTTGCTGACCTTGATATTGCCCCTTGTGTCTACATGCTTGTTTTTTTACATGAGAATGTCACCAACATTTTACCATGATGACAGAATAAACAGCAGGGTTTTACTGACTACTACTTTGGCAGAGCAATTCTCCTTATTTTTTTATCCAACCCTGCTTACTACATGAGTCTAAGGAAAAATTAAAGAGTACTTCAAAGACGACACACCGTAGCTTACCAGTAGCCTTCAGATGTACTTTTGGAGTGGAAGAGACACAGTTTTGATAGTCATTAGCTTGCCAACCCTTAGCAATGAGCCAAAAAGTCCGTCATTTTTAGTTTCACCCTCCAACAAGTTTATCCTCCACTCTGTAAATCCACCAGCAAACCACCCGCCTCCCTGGCCGTCCATTCCTGGCAGCACACTGGCTGGATTATGTAGGTAACTGCGGTGTTGCCAGAGCTTCGCTAAGCTTGTCTATTAGTCACAAGAGGCATCACTAGGTTTTGTTTTTGTTGGACAAATTTAATATTAAGTTTCAAAGTGAGTAATTTTGGGCTACTCCTATAAGGGTAATTTAATTTTATATATACTTTTTTGTATATATTACCAGGTGTTAATTACTTTTTTAATAATACGTTAAATATATGTATATATGTATACATATATATATATACAGTACAGGCCAAAAGTTTGGACACACCTTCTCATTCAATGCGTTTTCTTTATTTTCATGACTATTTACATTGTNTAAAGAAAACGCATTGAATGAGAAGGTGTGTCCAAACTTTTGGCCTGTACTGTATATATATATATATATATATATATATATATTTATTCCAATTTCAGTGTTTGAATATTTTTAAGAATTAAAAGGTCATGGCTCTTTAAAAGGGCATATTTGCTATTATGCTATTATATTTTATGAGTTGCATAAAATGGTCTCAAAATGACAATAATAACGTTAATCGCATTTATTTCTTGGACAATATGTCATCCAACAAAAGTCGATGTCATGACAGGCCCATTCGCCAGGTAGTGAGATCAGTATGTTATTGATTACTATGGTACACCAAAGCATTACATACACATATACATAAAGCCCTGCAATAATCTGCCGACCTGTCCAGGGTGTACCCCACCTCTCACCCAGTGTCAGCTGGGATAGGCTCTAGCCATTTCACTGATTAACCCAAAATGAGAAAACAGACTTGATAAGGATTCATGGTGCCTGAATTATTGAACATCAGCTAAGTGTTCTTGCCAGTTTAACTTTATACGGTCTGTCTGTTTATGCGGTGTGTCTCACTGACAATTGCTCTGTATGATTCCCCTGTTTCAGGTGGTTTTCAGTCCACTGTTTGTCATGAGGAGCCACTTGCCAGATCCAGTAATCATCCACATAGAGAAAAGGAGTCTAGGAGTGAGAGAGAGCCAGCTGATACATGGCCAGGGCCAGCAGGAGCCCCTGTTAAACACTGAGTCCGACCTCACCCACCACCTCACTTTTCAGGCCAGGTAAAAAACTGTTTAAACTTAGGGACCAATATCTGTCCTATGTTTACAGTATGTTAATATCTGTATGTTCATAAAAATAACTCACCTGGAAGACCAGGCACAAAAAAAACACATGACCCACAATACTTTTACATCTCATGATATACAAACACAACTCGGAATCTGTTCCCAAGACTGAGACAGATCTTCACCTGCCCCTTCATCTTTGGCAGGTCTTCTGTTTCCATTCTCGCTATTTGCTCATGACCAAGATGGTTGCCGATCAGCAGGAAAATTCAATTTAGTTCTTTCAGTCCAGTGTTATATTATGTCATCAGCAACCAGCTCATACTGCTGCAAAGGGCAAAGTCTAACTCTGGTCTTCTGTCATTGGTTTTTTATGCCTCAATTTAGCAAAGACAGAAAGACACTTACTTAAGATTCCCTCACACCACATTCTGATTTCTGTGAGCCAACATGAAGACATGATCCAGGGGAATCCAGGCACATTTCAGGGAAGCAGGAAGCCAGCTTGGCAGCAGCTGAGACACTGCTCCAATTCCAACATGTCAGGTTGGACCATAATTACACCTCATTTAGAAATGGGACCTAACAGAGAGCAGGTTTTTGGCCCCATATTGGCTACATATTTGTTCGTGTCTGTGTGTGGAGGGGATTGTGTGTGTGCGCACACATGTTTGTGTGGGTGGATGTATGCACCCATGTGTCCTTGTATCTATGTGTGGTCTGTGTCTGTGATCGTCTTAGTTGACTGTGTGCCAGTGTAAGTGTGACAGTCGCCACTTCATCATGGGCAGAGCCTGTCACATACATCACTTCTACGCCTGTTTCTCTGTCCCAGTTCATCAGTGTGTGTTCACACTTTCTCATATTGTCCATATCCTCTTTAAGAGACAGCTCTTCACTCGGTCCCTCATGGTAGGCTCGACTCAGATCAATCAATTGTCAGAATGTTTAGTTGCATCAAAGTTTGCCCATAAAAGCAATGCCATGTATCTATAATTCATCTGTAGGATATATAGTCTAATAAAATCACCATGATACCTCATGTGTCACGTCACAGCATAGAAATGGCAAATGCTTCAGTCCAAAGTGTCTTTCAGTAACATGAGTGTTTATATTTCAGTATGGGTGGCCCCAGGGGAAATAGCTACCACATGTACATGCTGTACTGTTGTTGTTCCTACTGTATTTGTTATCTGTACATCTGTAATCTATGTTGTTTTATGTGAATCCATGAAAGAAAAATCACCCCTTTGGTAGCAACTAGTGGTGATCTGAATAAACAGAGTAAACGTTGAGTGTAATTGACTCCCCCTGAGATTTTTTTTTTTTTTTTTTTTTTTTTTTTTTGCTGTAACTGTTGTGTGTTTAGATATCTGGTCACAAAGTTTGTTTTGATTTCAGCTGCCATCAAGGAACCACAGTGGCCATACAGTGACTGGGAATATATTTGGCCCCTGTTGTTGTAGATAAATCCTTTTTCATGCGCGCAAATGCAAGCTCAGAAACAACTAAGTGTCTTGTCTCTCTGGATTGTAACCACAATGCTCCTTGTGTTTACAATCCGTCCCCTGCCTCTCACCGCACAGACTTACATACCCCCCTGCCTTGTCCCCCCAACTCAATCCATCCTTCATCCCTCTCCATCCTGAAAAACACACACACTACAAGCCACAATTGTAAACGCACCTTCACTCACATACGCATATATAACACATGCACACAATCCCCCCCAACCCCAAACCTCTAGGACGGATCCAATCTTGAATGTTCGCTGGTCAACAGCTCATCTTTCCTTCCTGTAATTACACATAGTTGTGGGCTCTAATGGACGAGGTAGAGAGCAGAGCTGCGGTCTGCGACACAAGAGACACAGACAAGTCTCAACCAGAACAGTTTTGTCCTGCTCTCCTCATATTGGCCACCACATTAGAAAGCTGAGGGTTACAATCAGAAGCCTCTTCCAGTTTCCCCCCTCAGGAACTGCTCTGGATGAAAAGCTTCCTGTCAACACCTTGTCCCTCTCCTCTGTCTTGCCCCAGATCCATAAGCAATAGCCCCTGTGTTTCTTTTATAGCACAATGAGCTATATTAATAAACTACTGCTCTGGGGTAAGGGGGCTGCTTTGCTTTAGCCAAGTGGAACTGGATGCTGCCCAGAGAAAGAGAAGAAGCTGTTACAGTTTGGATTTAGTTCTTTTCTTTTCTTCTTGTTGCAAATCCATAATTGACCAGTGTCTGGGGCTGAGGTATCCAATAGGATTATTTACTGCTGTTTAGCTTTTTCTATGATCTTTGTGAATTAGTGTTTGTAAGGCAAGACTTCATGTCAGGGAGAAAAAGCCAAAACAAAAGGCAGATTCAACCCTCTTTGAGTTTTCAGGGTAAAAGCTGAGTTTAGCTGGAGGTCACTTTAATTGGTCTGAACAGAACAATGAGAATAGTCAGCTGCTGTCAGGAGATGTCTTGTTCTATAGTGGAATAAAAAAGTATGTTTGAATTGTTTCTGGCATGGGATAAGTAAACATGCTTCCAAGCCAGATTTGCTAACAAAATATACAGCATTGGTTCACAGCCATGTGCCTTTATGACCCTAGGAGTATGTAGGTTTTCATTTCAAGCAATCAGTTATCAGACCATCCGCCACAGAGGAGGAGATAATCAAGATAAGTAAAATCAGCTGGTACAGTGCCTGTTTGGCAGGAGGACCTGCGGAGTGTTGGCTAAAGATAGCACATGTTTGAGAATCACTGAGAACTGCGAGGTATCTGTTTCAAATGGAAATTGGTTACATTTTCCCACATACACATATAAATACATGCATCACACTCATGTTTGTCTTGTTAGAGAATTCTAAAATGATTTCTGCTCTGTCTTTCAGGGAGGATGAAGATCCATCCCACTGTGCTGTACCAATCTCCTCCAGCCTAATCAAGCAGATCGTGAACAAGAATGGAAACGAGGACAATCTGGAACACATCCTGGCTGACTTCTATGGTCCGAAGACATCCACTGGGTCACCATGGCCCTATGTCACCAATGATACTGACAGGTACACGACGTTGTGCTGGCCTTAGACCAAACAACTTTTCAAGTGATTTCACGGTCACAAATTTCCAGTGTAGGAATAAAATCATGAGGGTTTTACCTCAGTTGGGGTGTGCTCCCATGGTCTTGATCATTTGGTGTGAGGTGGTCACAAATCTCAGTCTGAGCCGTCTTAAGCCAGTCTTTTTCTCTTCTTGATGACCAAATCACACGTTTAATATTATTTTAGGTTTTAGTCTTGGCTCATGCAAATACTGAAGTTCAGTGACGTGAACATTGTCAACAACCAACAGCTGTGCTTCCTCCAGCACCAAACAAGAAGCAGCAAACTGGGTAGACAGTAAACATGAAAGGGACTCCAGGGGGGCACAAGAACATGAGCAAGTCTCAGTTCTCTTGTTCTGTAGAAAAAGGAGGAGAAACTGGTGGAGTTGTGGAATAAACAAGAGTCGGTGCTTAATTTGGCATGAATTGATCTACCAACTGACACTAACTTTTATTGAGAAATCTTCATTTTTGAAAATGTTTGCCTCTCATTCCCACAGTCTGCTCCCACTGACATAGCACAGCTTACCAACGGGGCCAGTTTGTACACAAAAACAGTTTATCTTTATGTGAAGATATTGATGCCAAACTGACAAGAATACTGTTGACAGATGACGCCTTTTATCTTGTGTTTCTAGAGTTATGTGTTTCAGCAGACACGTAAGGAATTGTTAATATGTCGTATTTCTTCAAGGGAGTTTGGCGTAATATTTTTCCATCAGGAACAGAATGGGAAGTAAGCTCAAAAGGAATCTTTAAGGAAGTTATAATCTTGCATATTGTGACCCTGAAGATCCCCAGACTTGTCAAAATCTTATAGTGTGACTAAAAACTCACATCATCTTTAGATGTGAGAGGGTGTCAGACTTTAATCTTTAAAGGTATTTTCAAAGTCTCCTGGTGTATGGTAGGCATTCATTTGTTGCCTGTTGAGTGCTTTGCATTTGTGAGAAATGCAGTTTTATGCTTTTACTTGAAAGATTAGTATTGATTGTCTTTTTTAAAAAAATCTTGAGGAGCCTGTCGACACTTCCAAGCACCTGGGTAGGATAAACAAGGTGAAGCAAGGCAGGATAGAGCAATAGTGATACATGATGCAAATTGTGAGCCAGATTCACACTAAAAACAAGCATGAGTGCACAAGCCGTCATCCCCCTCATATGATGACACCTTATGATCCTTTGTAACCAGTCAACATGTGTAATTCTTTTCATCTTTATTATAGAACTTCGGCGGCAAGCATTAAATCTTACTGTTAGATTTCATAACACACATTTCTGAGACCCACCAGAGTGTTTTTTTTCTAATAGTAGACTTCATACAGCATCCCTCCTCAAAGCACAAAGTTGTGCAAGCGAGCTCTTTAATGAGCGAGGCTTCTCTTTATTGCTGACTCTTTGTTCACATAATAAAACAGTTAACTGCAAAGACAATGCAGAGCCATGCATCAGAAGTTAGCAGGGATCCCACTGCCGTCCCCGCAGACCAGAGATTTAGGCTGTCACTCTGTCACAGTCCCACTTTCTCACACCAGTCACAGGGCCTTGCATCCAGTTAAAACTTGGCACAGCTTTGCAGAGCCTACAGTGTGTGTACTCTATAGATGTGTGCATGTGTGTGTATATGTGGCCTCGTGCATGAGGGTACATATACAATCAGGCAGCACACACATATGAATGTGTCCACAAATGTCACTCTGGGAATCATCTTTTGTCACAAAGCAATCACATCTTGATAGCAGCGGAAAAAAGATGTAGCCACATGCTCTCCCACAGGCTCCGAGTTACAAAGAGTCCCAGCAGATCTGCTGGACATGTGGGCCATATGTCTGCCTGTGGTTGCCCTGGTTTCTCTGCTCTCTATACATACTCAAACACGCACACAGATTGTTGCCCAGCACAAGTACACACACTCAAAACACCGTGTTACATACGCACACCACCATATACATCGCTCACCTTTAGATGTCACACACACCGTGTCTCAGTGGAGTTCTGCTATCTGGCGGTTTGGTGTCGGGTTTCTCTGTCAGTCAGGCCTCTTTCCTCCCTGCTATCCATCCCTTCACGAACAAAGCTCAAGGACAAAGCACATTTCTGATCATAGAAGTGGCAATCTGTCTGAAAAACAGAAGTCTGCCACTTTATTTCCAAGAGCATGAGGGGAAATTGGTAAAAGAAAAGGAGAATAAAAGTGTCATCACAGGATTAATAGCATTGATTGTTATCTCTAAACACACTCAAAACTTGGACAGCAAGTGAAAGCCACAGTTTAACTTGTATATTTTTTTCTTAATGTTGATAACAGTGGTGTTTGGAAAGAGGGTTTAGTCTCCCTGGTACAGTGGAGAAACCAAACCAACTGAACTCCCTGGCAGGGAGTGTGTAAATATTGTGTCTTAAAGGGGCAGAGGAAGTTGAAAGTGGTAAAAGTTATTTTTCTTTCTCTGTTGGATTTTAATGGCAGAGAGGCACCTCCACAATCATTAAACAAACATCTTGTAGTGGTTGGGGTTGGGGTAAGCTCTCACTGCAGGCTGTGAGTGTGTGGGTTCAGAGCAGTGTGCTTCTCAAAATTCACACTTCTAAAACCCTCAGCTCCAGAGTTGGCAGATTTTAACAGAAGCTGCGGAGCAGATTTCTCTCAATTACCTTTTTGTGAGCTCTGTAATGTGATTTATGAGTCCTGCACTTTGCTGCCCTCAGCCTTGAGGTCAGTTTCCTATTAACTACACACACACACACAAACAGCAGTAAATGTGAAAGAAAAGCTATCGTCAGTGCTTTTCTTTTAGTCCCATTTTACAGCAGGGAGTCTTTGGGTGTGTGACAAGTTTGAGATGGCAGGTTGGTAGGTTAAGCGGAGTCAAGGCGGCCTTGAGGGAGAGGGAAGAGCAGGTCGCCTTTGATGGCTTTGAACTTCAGAGTAAGTCTGAGAGAACTGTTTGTTTGGCTCTCCTCTGGCACTGTGCTGTTTAGGGCTCACAAGACCATGATTACCGTGAAATGACTGCTGTGTCAGTGGATCAGTGGAAAAATGGTTATGTGTTTCTGTCTGTTTGTCTGCGTCTCCACATGCCCATGTGTGTTCCCAGATGCCTTGTCAACTGTTCTCTGTATCTGTTTGTATTGCATAGCGTGTCTGCAAACCTTTCCTTTCCACGTTTTTGTTTAGCCTGACTGACTGTCAGTGTGTTAATGGTCTGCATAGTAACAGTATAAAAATTGTTTGTTTATATACGACACGTTTCACTGCCTGGTTAAGGCTGCATGCTGCTTTATATCTGGTACTGTGTAAAACATGTCTAGAACTGAATTACATGAGAAGACAAGACAAAGTATATCCTTAATCTTACTAACTGAGCATAAATTAGTTTTATTATCAAGCTGAAAATAATGGGTGTTTATCAATACTACATTACAGGTAGCTGTGTGTCTGTCTGTTTTTGTCATTATAGCTATGTGTCTGCGCGCTTTTCTGCAGTAGCCTATATGAGAAAACAAGCACAGAACAGTAGAAATGTGTTCAGCATGTCTGCCTGCTTGTCTGTAGTCTTGTCTCGCCCAGTGGAGAGAAAAGTGTTGTGCAAGGCATCAACAACTGCCAGAATCCATGTTTAATTCCCAAAAGGTTTACTTGTGCATAAACGTATGCATCGTTTTTACTTTACCTTTATGTTCCTGTATTAATTGAATCAGTGTCCGTATTTATGTTTACTGTATTTTTGTCAATGAGTTACTCTATTAGTATCTAACTCCTATACTTTGATGCTGTTGGATGATTTCTATAAAAGCGTGTGATCTCCCCACAGGTCAGTGCTGGAGCCCATTGCCCAGTGGGACAGTCCCATGCAGGTTAAGTTATCCTGCTGGAAGTCCGGTCTCAACACTCTGCTGGTAGAGTTGTTGCCCTGGGCCCTGCTGGCCAACCACTCCCAATGGGACCTCTGGCTTTTTGAGGGGGAGACCATCGTACTGCAGATACCAGCCGGCAAGGTCATTGTACCACCCAACTTTAAGGTAAGGTGCCAACTATAGTTTATGTATCCTGCAAGATACAGATTATAAAAGAACGATCAAAATGCTGCTGCAGAGGCCAAGATATCCTGACTTTTAGTCCCAAACTTACCTTTCCTTAAACGTCCCCTGCCATGTAAATGCCCTCATCTTCCAAAACCCATGTCTTTAGGTTCTAGCATAGGCTTTCTGTCAAAAACTTGTTGTCTTCAAGCCCAAATCGAGATAATGATGTCATCAGGGTTATTTTCTCAGACTTTAAAAATCTCCCTCCACAGCCACAGAAGATAAAATAAAACTATTTTCCAGGCTGAGTCGTAATCCTCATGACAAGGAAACTGATCTTCATGTGTAAAAGTCTGTTCCTTATTTTAAGACTTACATGTTTTATATAATACTTTCTTACCATTTACTCTGCTACATCAAATGAGTCATATCGCATGAATGTTTCCCATCAGGTCAAAAGTTTAGTGTTGGCAAAAGTACTTTGCCAGTAAAAAAAATAATTCTGATTCTGTATACTTTCCCAAATTATGTCACTGTATGATCTAGAGTGATCTTCCTGATACACTGTAGATATAATTTGTCTTTTCATCAACACCTGGAAGTCGGTCTTTTCGTGGCTTGATAGCCTTTATTACGAAACCAGCTCTTCCCTCATCTTGACTAATAAGCACAAAATCGTTCACTAAAGCGTCATTACAACAATATCTGCAGCCAAAATCTGTCATTGTACACTGCAGCGATGTCTTCTCACTGGCTTCTGAGATCAGAAGAAGAGGTCTGCAGATGGTTTTTCCCCCTGTGGAACATAACACACGTACACAGATTTCTCTGCCACTAACCCAGTGCTAAGCAGGAAGGCAGTGTATCAAAGAACAAGTGCCGATATGGTTCAGCACAAAGAAACAAAATAAAAAGTTGTAAATGTGTAATAGCTTGTGAAATGGAAACAAATAAAGCATTGTTTCCATTGAACGTTGCTGTTTATCATGGCATGACAAGTGAAGGGAAGATTTGATTGGTTTATGGGAGAGGGTTGGTGTTTGATCGGCAAGTTTCAAGATGCTGCTAGCAGCAGAGCCAGATGAACAATCAGGGTGTCAATGAAGCATCTGTGGGGCACTTAAATTATGTTCTCCTAACAAAGCCAACAGTTATAGACTCCTCAGTTCCAGCACTATTTGAAAGGCAATACAGAGAACAAGGACACTGTCAGGAACATTGTGCTGAGTTTTTGGTAATGAAGCCACAGTTGACCCTAGAATGTGGCCGTTTCCAAAATGCAATCAAATACAGTCAATTTTAATGGTAAATTTTGTTTGACGTGACAATGATTTGACCTCTGATTCATTTTTGTTCCTGATTCTCTATCTGATCTCTCATTGTTCCCTCACTCCCCCCCTCTACACCCTCTTGTTCCACACCATCCAGGAAGCATTCCAGATTGGTATCTACTGGGCCCACACTAACACCGTCCACAAATCTACAGCACTCAAACTGGTCCATGACCTGACTTCTCCTCGATGGAAGGAGGGATCAGGCTCAGAGGTGGTCACCCTGGATGAGGAGGGATATGTAGAGGCCGACATCACCCTGGGAGCCTTCCCTGGCAGACAGAAAGTGAGAGAAACAATGATCAAACTCAAAGCTTCAATAACATGCAGTCGCCACTGCTCATTAAATCTCATAGAATTTTGAAAGTCACTGAATTTTACATTAAAGTCACTGTGGGCATGATGAAAATGTTGTGCAGAACAACTCAGTATAACATAGTATTCTGATAACCTCTGAGCAAACAGTATTTCAGTGATCGCTTTTTTCTTTTAACATATTTGAATGTGCATTTAATTACGGCAACGACCAAATTAGTTCTGTGTCTCACCACAGCAGGCTGATATCCAGATTTCTCAACTAATAAAATTGTTTTTTTCTATCATTTATAGCTGACAATTCAGTGTCTGTTGTTTTCTCTGTAGCTGTGTCAGTTCTGCGTGTCATCTGTGGTGAGACATGGCATCCAGATCCTGCGGATAGAAGACAGAACAATTCTTGTCAACAACACTCCTTACACAATTCAGTACAGGCCTCTGCTGACGGACCACGCACTGGGAACTGATGACCAGGTAATGTGCAGAAATGCTAAGTAAACATCAGCAGTGGGTCTCAAAGTGAGTTTCACAGGAGTACATAGGGTTTAATGAACTTAATTATGTGTCATTTTAACTCTAGGTAATTTTTGTTTATGGTAAAATATGAAATGCACAAATATAGAATCTTTCCGTAAGTGCTTTTTCTCGCCTTTATTTAAACAGTTAAACAAGTGCTTTTGCTGGCATGGTGCTAGAACATGCTAGAAATTTGAGACTATACTAGGCTACTATTTCCTCCATCACAGCACCTGCCCAGTATCTAAGTCCCAACCAGCTTAAGTGTTCACTCCAGCTCTCTAAAACACTGTGAGATACTGTGAATTCTGGGCCCACAGCTTCGGTTCTTTACTGCTACCTCATAACCATAAGGCCTGCGTGTGTGTGTTTTCATGTATGTATGTAACTTCACACATACAGTATATTCCCTATACACATTACTCACACACATACACCCCAGCACTTCCACACATACACATTGCCGTTTTCCATCAGATCATGTTGCTTCCCCTCTCCCCCTCCACCGCTTCCACCATGTGGCAATGGCACTTCATTGGGACATTAGACAAACACCCAGAATTGGATGCAGGTTTCCCTTCTCGCTTTCATCTGCTGCTTGTCCCCAAAGAGAGCAACAATGTAGTGATGTCATTTAACGAGCCTTCAGATCCTCTTAAAGAAGGATGGCAGAGCTTGCCAGTTGCCACTAATTGACTGAAAAACCTTTAAAAAAAAAAGAGAGAGCTTAAAAAAACTAAATAGCGGGCGATGGGCTTAACAATAACACAGACCACAAACAAGGCTAGGAATGCCTTTCTAGTTGGTCTATTCATCATGCTTAGTGCCTAATCCCTGTAGTCTTCGACTACTCGCTGTTCACTGGCTGCTAAATCAGCACAGCAGGGCTTCTCTGCTACCAATTTAGCACTAAGCTTAGTGGGAGAGAGAAGAGAGTACAATAACAATGTGGTTTTACCATGTATCTTTTGTTGTAATCACTTGCATCTTCTTTGCTCTCTCTTTCTTTTCTTTGTGTCCCATCTCATATCCTTTTCTGATGCAACGTTTTTCCACTTCCCCTCCTTTGTTCTCATTTGCATGTCTCACCTCCATTCTTTTTTGTCTCTTCTGTTCCATCTTTTTTTCTTTTGTGTTTCCTTCCTCATCTGCTTATTTCCCTTTATTTTCCATCTCGTCCTTTTTCTTTCCTCTCTGCTCCTCTCTTCCCCCCCTTTTCTTTATTTTTCTCTTCCTCTCCTTTTTCTTTTCCTCTTCTCTCGTCCTTTCTATTTCCTTTCTCTTCTCATTTCTTTTCCTCTCCTATTATCTCCTCTCCTCTTTTCATTATGTTTATATCATGTCCTCTCCTCAGGCCTGTGAGATACCAGAGACAGCACCGTTCACCCTGCCTCCCTCTGATGAATCATCCCCAGCCAAGCCCTGCTCTGTGCCATGCTGGGACCTCCTCCAAACCAGTGTCCAGGGAACAGTGGAGTTCCCTCTGCCGCTCAAGCACATGCTGTTCAGCTTATTTCCCAGGCATGATGCTGGACTTGGATCTGCTGCATGGAGCCTCCCCGCTCCCATCCGACCAGACTTCCCCAGGCAGAGTTTGTCAGTTCCTGAGGAACCGGACTCTGGGGGTGGCCTTAGCAGTAGGTGGGTGAAGCAGAGCATTTGTGGTTTGCTGGCTGTGACAGTCCATTTAGAGCAGGGTACCGAACCCCAGCTGGCACAGGACATATAGCTGGGAGGTACTGTAGCTGGTCACAGCTTGTTAAACATTGCTGATGAAGCAAAAGCATAAATGCCCTCAACATTTCCACTGTAGGTCTCTCTGTGTGTCTTGTACAATTGATCCCTCTCAGCTTATCTGATGTCTTTCTTTTATTAATTGTAGCCCTAGTAAAGCTATTTCATCTTCAATTACTAAAAACACAAGCTATGTACAGCACATGGGCCAATGAGCATATCTTATTTTCCTTCACAGAGACATGTTGTGTTCTGGCCAGCTTGGCTCTCATTTACTGCATGTTAATGTAGCGCACAGTCAAACACACATACATAAATAAAAACACAAATATGGACACACACACAGGGTGACAGTGTGTCAGCATCTGGCTTCAGTTAGGGCTCTGCCCATGGATGCACCTCAGAGATTTGCAAATGGACATAGCAGTAATGTGACGTTTGACATGTTGGTGGGTGTGTGATCTCTTATCTGTGTGTGATTAGAAGGGGCTGGGATATAAGCTGTCTGTGGACAGTTTATTTATGAGCTTGTTTTTATTTGTTTTTTGCAGAGGCATAGTACTAACATATCAGGAACACCTTGGGGTGACATACATCATCTTGAATGAGGACCCCTGTCCTCGGATGCTGATCCACAACAAGTGTCCTATCCCACTGCTGCTAAAGGAAACTACCAAAGGTAGGAAAGAGAATGGCTGACTATCTCTCCTCTCACCTCATCTCCTTCCCTTGCTCCGTTGTATCGCTACTACTATTATACTGTTTTACTACTAATTTTTGTACTATGTCCTTGTATCTTCAAATAGAAACTCCAAGGACTGAGGTTTACTGCCGTCCTCTGCCTGCTAATTGCTCCCTGCACCATGAGCTCTACCACCACTTTTCCAGTTTCCCTGAGTGCAGGCAGAAAGATATGCTACCCTCACTGCTGTTGAAAAACACTTCAGACCACAGCACCACCGACTGGACTGACCCCATAGATATCAACTCCCCCGGCACTCAGGTAAAAGCTTCATGTGGAGGATGTGAGGGGATGTCCCACCTCTCAACACTAAACAATATATTTATTTTTTGATTTTAATAATGTGGTGTAGGAATACAATTTTTTACATCATCCCTCTTCTCAAATTTGGAGAATCTCATCTTGCACTCATAATGTGCTTGTTATGAGATCTTACTTTTTGGATTTTTACTGATGTACATTTAAGAACATTATCAGCTCACACTGATAATGTAATTGGCAGTTAGGTGGAGCCAGCCTTTGCCATGCTTTAGCAGCAAAACAAAGAATAGAATAGCCCATTTGCAGGCTTATAGTTGATGCCCCCCCCCCCCTCCTTTGGTCAGTGTAGTAGTGTGGGGTTACTGAGAAGGTAAGGAGCAGTGTAATGTTTGGTGTTGTGTCTAGTTGGCTGCAGGTTGGGGTTGAGGTTGAGGCTGTGTATCTCTGGTTACTGTGAGGTCTGGGTCTGACTTCTGTGGTAGGGGTGAGAGGTTAGAGGTCAGACTTGTTATGACTGCTCAGCGAGGCGTTCAGCAGGGATGTACTTCCTTTCGTCACGTGAGGGGCTGATCACTCTGAACCTGGAGTGGTGGAGGTTAAAGTCAGACACATGTATGCTCTGAAACACAAACAAAGAACAGTGTAAACAACACTGAGTTTAGCTATGAATCTGGGAATGGGTAAAGTTACCTCATGAAAGTTTATTTAGAGTGGAAATGAGCAAAACCTTCTATCAATAGAGCGTATCCAAGTGCATTGATCTATCACACCACAGATCTGTGTTTTATTCTTGCCCAGGTGGTGTTCCTGCCAGGTTTTGGCTGCCTCTACATAGACGTGGTGTATGAGAAAGGCACCCTGGTTCTGTGTCTGGCACCAGAGGGCAGCGTGGATGCTGTGATCAACCAGCACAGCAGGTATGTGTGCCTAGGCAGTGGTTTTATTGTAGTTGTTTTATGTTCCCTACATATTTGAGCCATAAAAAATCATCAATGCATGTTGTTCTTCCTAACCTCAAGGTATCTCCCCGTGGTCCTGTTATTGTGTTCACTTCAGATGGCTTTATGGTCATTGTTAACAGCAATGTTTTCATGCAGCAATTGTTAGAAGACTCCAAACATGAAGAAACAGGCATCATTTGCACCACAGGAGGGCAATAAAACTCCCTTGTGTTGTCATGAGTGAAATTAGTACAGTAGAACATGGTATTACAGCTTTATTCCATTACATCAACGCATAGCTGGTTTTCCATTTGGGCAAAACAGGAAATTAATATCATCACATATTAGGTAAATGTAAACAAATTACGTCAGACAGTGATCTTTGTCCTGGTGGCAGGAAGTTCATGAAACATCAACAGCACACGAGTTTAGTCTCTTTTTATCCTCCACAAATCATCTGAGTCATAACACACCTACTTAAGGCTTTGGTTAATATGTCTGTGACGGAGATGTTTTCATACATTCATACATTTCCTTAATTATTTAACTATACAATACTTCCACATTAATAACTCCTGTTCTGTTTCAGGTCCTCTAAGCTGTCCTGTAGAGTCCTCCTCAGTGAAGCCAGTGTGGTGTTGAGTGATGACATCACCAATCCCTCTGGATCGGTGGAGCTGCTCAGACTCACGCTGACCAAGCTGCTCGTCAGCTTGGCTCCAGTACCCACCTCCCTGCCCCCAGAGCTGGCAGTTGACCCTGGCAGGGACGCAGCACCCATCTCTGCTCTGATGCCTGACGCCTCTTTGATCGAGGTCTATTGCTCCAGCCTGCAAGTAGACAACCAGCTGTATAACCGAGCAAGTTTCCACTTCCCCGTGCTGCTGTGCCAGGATCAGCGAGGAGGAGCTGAGCCTGCGGGTCAGTGGAGCAGTGATGCCAACCCCACTGAGTCCCCTGAAGCCCTGGAGGAGTTCAAACGCTCTTGTTTCCTGCAGCTGAGGATGACTCTGGCTGGAGACAGATGCACTATGGAGGAGGTTGGATTCATTCTTCTGTCTTTGTATTTCCACTTTCTTTGACACAGTAGAGGGTGCATGAGATCAGGTCTCTTTTTCAAGGATGACCTATGTCAAAAAAGCCTAAATTCTTTAGACATCATATGGTAACCAGTATGTACAAGTCTGTTTATTCCCTTCACCATAATCATGAATCAACAGTCAGCTTTTTGTGTTTTTCCCCAGATCACCTTCCAGCTCCAACCTGCCAGAGTTTACCTCGAAGACACCTTTGTTTACTACATTAAGACGTTGTTCAACACCTACATCCCTGACAGTGCCATGTCCTCAGCCACAGCAGAGACCCAGAGGAGGAGAGAGTCTGGATCAGCCCCCATCCTGCCTGAACAGGTGCACCATGCAGTCCATAATGTTTTATTCAGGCACTGACAAGGCTGAATGTTTTCTGTTTCAGTCACTGCATTTTCATTACGTTATTAGCACAGTGGTGCATTCAGCTCAGGCCAGACACTCAGGAAGCAGCATCCAACTTTATTATGGTTATCAGCATGCCTTCGAAGGAAGTCTGCTTATTTTTGCAGCAGGATGCAAATTATAAATAATAATTCAGCCATTATTACCTAGTCCAGTAAAGCAACTTGTGTCTGCTCTGTGTATCTCAAGATGTTGTAATCGTTACTGTCTTATGTCAATACTAAAACTAGTACATTTCCACCAGGTGCTTCAGTCAGTGCAGGCGTTGGTCTACCCTGTGCGGCTGCAGAGGCTGACCATCCAGCCAGTCAACCTGTTGGTCAGCATCCATGCCTCCCTAAAGTTGTACATCGCTTCAGACCACACACCCCTCTCATTCTCCCTGTTTGAGAGAGGGCCACTGTGCACCACGGCCAGGCAGCTCGTCCATGCTCTGGCCATGCACTATGCTGCTGGTGCCCTCTTCAGAGCTGGTAGGTAGTGAATGGAGGAACTTGCATAACTTCTTTTTTTATTAAAGGCCTCATATTTACCTGCTGCCACATCAATCATGCCATACAGCAAGTGGTCCCTAAAGCCAGCATGTGTTTCATATGTGGACACTAGACTGATGTCTTTTCACACTGCAGGGACACAAGTTTACGGTCTGTCTTAGATAGGCTCACGCTCAAATCCTATGCACTCGGTTTAGGCAAATATGGACAGAAGAATAACAGGATGTGTGCTCAAGTGAGAAATCCCACAATTTATTCTCTCTAAGTCTAGTTGAGCTTCGAAATGATTGCACCCAGGGGCTCCCATTGCTTTGTGTCAGAAAGTGCAGTGAAACTGTAGAGCTCCAGGAAGCAAAGTCTGAATCACTGCAGGCTCGAAAAAGATTTAGATTCTCCCATTGTCATAATTTACTGTTTTACCATGAGCTTTGACTGATGACTCATGGTGTGCAGGCGGTACGTTATGAATAATCTGTGGACGGCAGAGTCTGACTTATCAGGCCCTATAAAGGCTCCGTACCTCTCTCCTGCATTGTCCTCCTGTCTAGTCAAAGCCTCCACACATGTTCTGGTTTAAGCCAGTCATTTCCACATCAGAAATCACCGTTCTGGACGAACACTTCCTTCCCGCTGTCTCTCGTTAGAGCACTTATTTCTGCTCGTATTTCAACACATCACCTCACTGCGTTCTCCTCTTCCTGAGTCGTCATGGAGTGAGGGGCGCCGGGAAGCATTGCATTCTGGGGCTGATTAGTACTAGGATGTACAGTATTATGAGCACACACACACCCAAAGGCGTAAATCCATGCACATACACATACAAGGAGTTATGGGAATATGGATATTAAAAAGCATACACACACCAGTATATGCATGTGTGTAAAAGCATGACTCAGCCCTGTAAACATCTGCTCCCGTCAGGACTTTATGCTTTACCAAAACCACAACTGGGAGACCATGTGAAGCAGAAACGACCACTAGGCCCCACTGGAGTTGGTTTCCTACCATTAGAGTCCATCACTCAAATGCAAATTGACAGAGAATAAGAGCAGAGCGGGGTCTGTGTCTTGAGAAATTGCTATTTGATTTTTGAGATGCAATTGTCAGTGCATAAATATCAATGAGCCGTGCCATCTGAAGGGGACTGTATGGTTGAATGAGAGAGATGAGGTGAGATAGTAGGAGGCTGTAAATCTTACTGTGGCACATGTATGATTTCATGCAGGAGTGTGTGTGTCTGTGTGCATATGTGTATGTGTGAATGCTTTTGTGAATCTTTTGTATTGTTGAGAAAAGAAATTTGATCGAATGAACGCAATGCTGAACATATAATCATGATGTAAAAACATTTTGTAAGTTATTCTGTAAAATGTTCAAAATGTTTAGAGTGGAAGAGCCTCCCACTCTAAACTGCTTTTGGTAAGCAGAGGATCGTGCAAGTTTTCTCAAGGGGCTTCTACGAGGAATGTGCCTCCTCAGAGCACGTGTTCAAGATGTATTTCTGTTGAGTACAAAACCTATTTTACTGTGGGATTTTACAGTATGGAACTTGTGTAAATTGTGTGTAATAACCCAAATGTGGCCACCTCCAAAAATAATAGTGTAAGTAACTGATTCATTTAAATATCTGCTTCCAAGCCAAGTGTTTGTTATAAATCTAAACTGAAAGAGAAAACAAAGAAGGCTGGATGGCAACTATGTCCTAAGAACTTCATTAAAAAGAAAAGAAGTGCATGTTAAATTATGTTAATATAACAAGTGGAGGCAGCTGTGGCTCAGAGGTAGAGCGAGTCATCCACTAATCTGAAGACTGGCAGTTTGATCCTTGGCTCCTCCAGTCCACCTGGGCAAGATAATGAACCCCAAATTGCTCCTAATGGATGTTCCATCGTTGTGTGAGTGTGTGTGAATGGTTATTGAGTAGCAGGTGGCACCATGTCTGGTAGCCTTGGCCACCAATGTGTAACTGTGTGTGTGAATGGGTGAGTGTAACATGCAGTACAGACATGCAGACTAGAAAAGCACTAAACAAGTACAGTCCATTTTACAAGTACTATTCGACAAATATCCTGTGCTGTGGTTGTTGCTCTTTCTCAGGTTGGGTGGTGGGATCTTTGGAGATCTTGGGCAGTCCTGCCAGCCTGGTGCGGAGCATCGGGAACGGCGTGTCCGACTTCTTTCGGCTGCCATATGAGGGTCTGACACGTGGACCTGGAGCCTTTGTCAGCGGGGTGTCCAGAGGAACCACCTCCTTCGTCAAGCATATCTCAAAAGGTAACAGAGATGTTCATTAGGTTTTTGTTAATTTCACAGCAGATAATGTTGATCTGTGTGCACACTCATGTTTGTATTTCTGGACTACTACTAATAAGTAATATTCCCTCAGACAGAGAAAGCACACACATTATCTGATAAACACTTTCTATTTAGGTTGTTATCATGCAGTGGTTACCAGAGCAACATCTAGAGATGGCTGACAAACTCACTTCAAACTCTGAACATTGAATTTGATCATGTCACATGTATGTTCAGGCACGCTGACGTCCATCACCAACTTAGCGACGAGTCTGGCCAGGAACATGGACCGCTTGTCTCTGGATGAAGAGCACTACACCAGGCAGGAGGAGTGGAGACGCCAGCTACCAGAGAGCCTCGGGGACGGACTGAGGCAGGGGCTGTCACGACTCGGCATTAGCTTGTTAGGTATGTGGGGATGCACACACACATGCAGTTAAATGCATCTCATGTAATCACTATTTTTTTACATTTGAGGGTTTTGCAACATTCCTAATCAGAAATAAAGCAGCACATTGCAGTAATATTTTTGTCATGTTTGTCATCACCCCTCTAAGTATCAACTAAATTGTCCAACTCTGATCCCGGTCGTGCAACTCACTTTTCTTTTCACTATTAGTCATCTTCTTAGTAACACAAAATAAGTGGTTTTAGATGAGAAATGGCACAAATGACATAAATACAGTTTTGTTCCCAGTTACAAGGTAGAAAGTTATCCAGATATTTGGAAAACATGAAGGGTTATATATTAGTATTTCATCGGGTCACTCGATATGTATGGAAACATGTTCTGCCCACACACATTTCATCTGCTGTCCACTGGCATTAGGTTCACACACTGTGGTGTGCACAATTACAGAGAGCTATGAGACAGAGCAGTGGAGACAGCGCAGCAGGGACTCAGTAAACACCCAGAGGGCAGTAAAACTCAAGTCTGTGGACACACAAAGTATATCGTCATTGAAACCAAACAGCTGCTCGCATCTCTCTGGGTTACAGTGGATTATAATTCCTGAGATGCACTGTAGATCACAACATCTGTGTCATACATACGATGGAGGCTCAGATATTTTCTGTGGGGCAGAAGCATATCTGAATTTATGACACTTTAGACTCTAACCCCCCCATGTCCTGCAAAAATGAAATCACCCAGAAGGTTTGCCCATCTTTTTGTGCGCAAAAGATGTCTTGAATGCTGTTTGCATGTTGTATTTTCTAATTGTAAGTCTGTTATTTAGTATTTATTGAACGTATCACAATAATAATGACCAACAACTTTGTCCTTGTCCTTTCAGGAGCAATAGCAGGCATCGTGGACCAGCCCATGCAGAACTTCCAGAGGAACTGGGAGATGCAGAGCTCAGCTGGTAGCAAGGCCAAAGGGGTCATCTCTGGAGTGGGGAAAGGCATTGTGGGGGTTTTCACCAAGCCCATCGGAGGAGCAGCTGAACTGGTGTCCCAGACTGGATACGGTGAGTTCAGGATGGTCAAAGATAACAGCATGTTGAATTAATTTATTTTTTCTGTTTCAGAAACTGCCTCACAGGGTTTTTTGGTTTTTTGTGTTAATGAAAACAATTTAAGTGAATGAAGAGATGGTCGTGAAAGCTTGATGAGTTTTGTTTATTATAATGGCCTCCACAAACACATGGCCCACAAACACAAAACACTAAAAAATTCAAGCATAATTAGAGCATAATTCTTGCTGTGAACAGCAGACATGACTAACCCATTTTGGATATCAACTATCAACTGACTTCTAGGACCATTAAAAGCGTTTTTATGTTGTCATGTCTGGCAACAAGCTGCATCATTTTATGGGGAAATATAAAGCGCTGAATATGTGTTTGAAATGTTTTTGTTATTTAACCTAAAGTAATTAAAATAACATTTGTAAAAGGATGAAAAAAAATATGTCCCGTAGACATGCAAACTTTTAACGTTCTTAACACACAAGCACATTATCACTGAAGTGTGAAGAGAGATTTGGTCATGCAGCAAGATCTCAAATTTATTTAACACAACTCAACAAATACGTCTTATGTACAACTTTCCAAGGAGCCTTAGGCGACAATATTCCAATAAACACCCCCATATTTTAAAGGTTTGTGTGTCAGGAAAATCATAAATCCCTCAGTGGATGGGCAATTTCTCTACTTCTGTCCCCTTGGCTCCAGCCAGCAACAGTGTTTATTAGGTCAGACCTTCAGTAGTGCAGGGCCTAAGAGAGAACTGCTGAAAGACCCTCTGGCACACACACACACACGCACAAACACTTGTATATACAGGCAGTTAAAGTCTTTGGAGTTAGTTTGTGTTTTACTGGGGGTAGAAGATAGGGGTGGGGGGTGTGAGGAGTGGGTCAGGGGGTGGGGTGTGTTGGCGCTAACAGGTCTTAGCTACAGCACATAAACTACCAACGAGGCCAAGAGCTCTGCCTAAGAGTGATGACTCCCCAGGCTCTGATCCACCTGACCCTCTGAGCTCAGCAGAACACAAACACACACACAAGCTTAGGATTACACATGTGGATCCACATGGATGCTCTTGAGTGCACACAGTGGGACGCTGCATGACACACAGACAACACACACAGAAAAACACTCTGTCGGTAATAAATGCCGATCAATTGTGTGTCCTAACTGTGTCACACTCCTGTCTTATGGAACACACACACACACACACACACACACAGATACTTGCAAACACCCACTCAGAGCTGAGCAGCGTTGCAGAGTACCACTGCAGTGACATCATTAATGGATCTTGCTGTGTTCTTTATGGCTCGCTTTTAACTACTTGATGACTTCACTGGCTCGCTGCTAGTGCTCTGCTGACAGCTAGAGTGGGATGAAGGGAAACTGACCACACGCACATGGGTTATGAACTCACACTGACATGTACACGCAGAGCTAAGATGTACTATGCAGGATTATCCTAAAAACAATGTATAGACAGAAGGAATCCCTCTCAATCATCACTTACGACCCACTAGAAGTGTTGGTCAGTGTATTTTTCTGCAGAGACTCTGCCCTCTGTCTGTGTTGGTTTTTTATTTTCTGCGTTTGGGACGTTTATGGACGTTTATGGGCGTTTATGGGCGTTTATGGGCGTGTACCCCCACAACACACAAGTGAGGTCGGGGCTTTATAAAAAGGTAGCAGCCAGGTGCCAGACCAGCTTTTACTTTGACTTTTGCTGCCGAGCATGTCTACAAAAAGTAGCCTGCATTGAATGACTTTAATAATGCACACGACTCCACTAACACATATTGTCTTTTTCTATCAAATGTCCATTTTCTCAGCTTTGTAGTAAGATTTAACTGAGAATGGCAGCAGTCTACCTTGTTGATATAATGCACATTTCATGAAGATGCACATAAATAATCCACCCAGGACAAAACTTTGCTCACAGTTACGCTGATGCTGACTGTCCCTATGTTTGTGTCTCCTCTAACAGGGATCCTTCATGGAGCAGGACTGTGGCAGCTTCCTAAACAACTGTACCTGCCTACAGAGGAGAAATCTGCTCAGGCCCCAAACAGCCACCTGAAATATGTCTGGTATGACCCTTGGCCATACAGAGCCTTTCATGCTTCCTGCAGGCTCCTCCTTTACTTCTGTCCAGCTATCCGTTAGAAGTGGGACATGTGTTCTCGCCTTTGCTTTTCTTGGAGTCTCTCCAGGATCTGCTGTTCTTTTTCCTCCCCCTTACTTCTCATCATTTTGCTGTCTTGTTTAAAAAAAAACCTTGGAGAGTTCATTACCTACTTTACAAAAAAAAGACTCTGGAAAAATGTTTGACCTTGATCCCACACATGGTAGCCAGCCTGCCCTCCCTTGTTCTCATCGAGCCATGTTAAAAGGTTTTTATAAGCACTCTGCCAAAGCCGCCAGCTAGAAATTGCTCTTGTTGTTTAACTATGAGTCTATCCAGAGATGTTTCCCAGTACCATCAGATGGAGGAACACCTTCCTTTGTGTGCTGGACTGGTTTGGAGTTTGGGAGAGACAAGGCTTACAAAGGTCGCATGTTTTGCCAAGCAGAAGGTTACCTTTAGGTCCTGCGTTGTAAAAAAAAAAAAAAAATTAAAAAAAAAATGGCAGTGGTATCGACAGCACTGCGTCAGATATGAGTGTTTCAAATATTCCAGTATGCTCTCTCAGTGGAGCACTTAACATTATCATAAAAATTTATAAGAGGCCTCTGTCTCCAGAAGGTTATCAGGAGCTGTTGAAAAAAAAAAAGCATTTATGGCATTTCATAATGAATTTTCCGCAATTTAGTTTGGTTTCCATAGCTATCAAACATTTACTTCTAATAGCAGTCTGTGTCGACCGTCAACTGCCATGAGGAAAAAGGCCAAATTTTAGATACAATATTTCTTTAGGACATTCCACTTTACTTGTCATCACCCGAGGGGTTAGCAGTATGTTGTGCTAATGTTAGAGGAAGATGAAAAAAAAAAAAGACAGAAATACATGAATGCTGAGATAATGCTCTCCTGTGGTTTTATTCACGCTGCTTTGCAGTCAAACTGCTTTCCATCAGGCATCCATCAATTATTTTTACTACTACAGGTAGCCCAGACACTTGAGGGGTCAGACTGTTTGAGCAGAGTAACACTGAACAGAACCAAACTGTCCCTACTGTGGCTGCTTCAACATCTGCTCTGCAATTTTGAACACCTGCCTTCCAAAGTAAACACACTGTCAGAGGAACATGACTGAGGACTTCAGTTCCTGCACACGCATGCCCCGATCCAACATGTGTGTAATAGGAACCACACAGAGAACATGTAGAATGTAAATTACAGGATGTATGGAGACACGTATGGTCGCTTGTTTGTGTGTGTTGAGGTTAGTCGGGCACCTTGTGTGGTCTTGTGTTTATAGGGAGTGTATATCTGAAGTTAGAAGGCCTGCCATCATGTGTGTGTACGTACACATATAATCCATGCACGCCATCAATATCAGTCATGTTAACGCGACGGCTCTCTATACTATGTGTTGATTAAGCATGGAACTATAAAGCCTTTACTTTTAAGATCTGACCCTATGTGAAGTTTTAATTTCCTGTTGCTTAATGATAACCAATCAGAATTTGCCTTTAATGTCTATCCCTCCCTGCTCTGACCACAGGAAGATGCTCCAGTCTCTGGGGCGGCCAGAGCTCCACATGGCCCTGGAGGTGACTATTGTGAGTGGGTCAGGTCAGGAGCATGCTGGCTGTCTGCTCCTTACCTCTGAGGTGCTGTTTGTGGTCAGCCTCAGTGAGGACACCCAGCAGCAGGCCTTCCCCATCACAGAGGTAACTGACAGTAGTAGGAAAAGAAAAAAGTGTTGAGACTGAACAACAGCTCTTGTCAGAGTCAAATAAACCTTTCATCAGCTGTGTTACTGTGAGGTGAATGTTAAACCTCCTGTCCTCTGCAGGTGGAGTGTCAGCAGGAGCCAGGACAGCAGGGCCAGCTCATCCTCACCTTACAGCAGCAGACAGTAGCCAGCGACACAGAGGTGAGTCTCAAGCTGAAAGTAATGGAGCTGCAGAGAGATTGCATGGTGGAAAACAACAATGAAATCAAAGAACACAGCTTACACAGGCTGCCAATTCATTGTTAAAACTCCAGGAAATAATAATAACTCCAGGAAAGCAAGCTCAACGTGGCTGAACTGTCGGTCACTGTGTGTGGTGACAGTCTAATACTGATTGAGTAATCACTTGACACAAGTTCAGGTGACTAGTTATGCACTGGTCAAACCCAGGGGTCCCACAGCGTTCCAAATAATGTTAAGTTATTAATAACATACAGAAACACTGCCTGCAATAGTCCACCTTCTACCTTCTCCTACCTGTTTCTTTCTCTGTCTCTCAAACTCAAACACACACACGACAGGGACTGAGCACTGCTTACCTAAACATCACTATAGGTGACGACGTTAGATCATAACCATGGCAAGACAAAAGTTTTTCTTACACGACTGGTTCAGTTCTTTTCACTAATTTCTTTGTCTGATTGAAGATGAACACGGCCGCTGTAGTTTTTGGTTGGCATGACAACATAGTTTTACAAAACACAGCACTGTGTGTCCTTGATGGCACCACCTGCCGCAGATTTAATTTCATTAGAACCAGTGTATTGGTAATCATTTGTCTGTCCTCCTTCAGGGTGACGGTGTCCGTGAGCGTCTGTCGGAGCAGCAGTATCGGCGGTTGGTGGATTACGTGATACGAGCCTCCCAGTTTCTTTCCCCCTCCGCCGCTTCTCTCCAACTGCAGCCCCCAGTGACGCTCGCCGAGCCCCCTCCCTCTGTCACCAAGTCTTACTGCTACCTGGTGGATCCCGCCTTCGCCAAGGTGTTTGTCAGCAAATTCACCATGGTCAAGAACAAAGCCTTACGCATCGGATTCCACTAATACACAGTAACACATGGATTTATGCTACAAAAACAAGATCAGACCTTTTGTTCCAGTATAAATTAAGCCTTAAGAAAAACACACTGTACTTTGGCTCTGAAAAGATACGGCCCATTTATGCAAAACATATCTGCTGAGGTAAAATAATTTATTTTATTAAAGTAAGGTCATTCATGCCTTAGGGATGTAGAGAATTCTTAGATATTGCCTTTGATAGATGTATTTTTTACTGATGCACAAACAGACTCGTCACAAAGCCACAGAGAAAATCAGATGGAGTAGAATCAGTTTTAATCATAGAAACACATGTAGGTTAAGACATTTCTTCTGCTTAGACATTTCACTGAGCACATATTATTATAGTGAACACTAAAACAAATGAGAGTTTAAACCTTCTTGGACCAACAGTGTTCAACTTAACAGGGCTCATTCAGTCGGTGTGAAACCTCGTCAGTGTTGCAGATAGAAATGCACAACACACAACTAATCTGTTCCATTTCTATCATAACAGTGTGTAATGTTTCACTCTGCACAGTGAGCTTAGTGTTTACATTCTCCATGTAGTGACTACGTCTCATGCCAATGTTAAGTGCAATATTATATACGCGTTGATGGACATTAGTGATACAGGCTGTCAACCAAAATGTTTTTATAGATGATGTAACACTTGTTTTGACAATAACACTGTTCTTTGTAACCTTATGTGGATGCCAACCCCTCATGATGCAAACATGTTGTTATTGTTGCCTTTTATATTGCTGTCCCTCTAAGCTCTGTATATGGTTTAAGTCTAATGCCTTCAATGTATGTAAATGGATAATATATTAATAGAGAAACATTTTAATAAAAACATTAAAAATGATTAAGTGTTATTCTGTCGTGTATTATGTAAGAAGAAAATTGAGTTTGAAATTGGCAAATAAATAAAATGCATGTTGTGCAGCCAGGCGTTATAGATACATACTATAGAATTGGTTAAAATAACTGTTTAGAGTTAGTAGACGTTTGTCACACAGGGTTTACGCAAATATTCTTACATCATGTGTAAACCCAGCCTCAAACCTCTACCTCAGCATCAGGATATCAGTAGCAGCTCTGCTCTCAGTTTTCACTCATCGCGCTCCGATAACAGTGTCAGGCACCATCATCTGTTTGTGTCAAAGCTGTGCGGCATGAAGTCACTTCTTGCACTTTGGTTTTATTTCATGTTGCAGGCTCTCACACCCCCTGCAGTAAAACATGAGAGCCAGTTAAGTTTGAGAGGCAAAGAAACTCCTTTGTGTGTTTACATTTTGGTATTTCACTCTTCACTTACTGTTATATCTGTTACACTGTTTACTGTCCGTTCTGGAGGAGCGATGTGAGAGCGGCTGGCGGCTGTGTTTACTGTCTGCTGACTTGACACTGCAGTCAGAGGCGGAGTCTGCAAAGACACAGTGCAAAGTATCTGCTTGTGCAGTCTTTGAACATGGTGTTGGCTGCTGTTTTTACAGAGAAGAAGGGTTATTTTTACCTTAAAGGAAGACTTCAAAAGATTATATATCAATTAATTACTTAATTCTTGATGAATTGAAGTCAGAGAGGTCAATGTTTACCAACAACAGCAAAACCATATCAGAACATTTGTTTACAAACTCTCAACTCCAGCAGTATAATCCATGTCTCATTTGATCATTCATATGCTCAGTGCCTCTCAAACAGACGGCACTTTCTGATAGGGAACTGACCTAAAAGTGAGATTCATCCCTGCTCTCTTCGAAGCCAGACTCCACTGACAAAAACAGTCATTTTACCTCACTAAACATGGAAGCTGCTGGTCTACGGCTGTTTGATGAGTCATTTGTTTATGTTATTGTGTGACTTTGGAGAATGCGAACTAACCCTATGAAACACCAAAGTCACACAACAACAAAAACTGACTAATCAATCAAGGCAACGATAGACCAGCAGCTCCCATGTTTAGTGCAGTAAAATTACTGTCTTTGTCAATGGGGTCTGGTTTTGCAGAGATCATAGGTAAGTTTCACTTTCCTTTCAGCTCCCCATCAGAGAGGACTGTCTGTTTGGAAAGTACTGAGCCTACGACTGGATAAATGAGATTTGGATTACACAGCACAAGTTGTGTGAGAGGTAGTAAATGGATGTTTTGATACAGTTTTGTTGTTGTTATATGTGGACCCCTATGACTTCAATTCATGGGGATTTTTTTCAGTCTTTGGATTCTTTGTTCACAGTGGAGTCGTGAGAAAAACAAAGTTTTCTTCACAAATTCAATCTAACACAGGGTGAGTAAGTGATATACAAATGTTCATTTGGGGGGTGAGGTATTCCTTTAAAGGGTGCAGATGCAGCCATATTTATATCGTGCAAACGACTCCCAACTTAACTGTGTGGACCATGTCTCTGTATTTGTAATGCATGTACCCAGGCCCTCATACTGAGTCTCTACCATGCAGGACTCAGTGATTATCTCCATCTGTGATCCTAACAGTATTTCTCCTCTACACCATCCCATTAAAACACTATTTGTGCTATGCTTCATTTCCGTTCATCCTCATTCACTATGGGCTGTAACTAACTCCTGCGTTAGCATCACGCTTCATTTACACGTCCACGCAATGTGGGCTCAGTCTAACTCCTGCACAGAACATTGACACTTAATGGACAGGCTGAAGTGGCTGTTTTGGCCAGAGTTCTATATAATGAGACAGTTCTGACATGTGGAGGGGGTCGGTCTGACAATGCTTTGGCTTCAACTGCCAGGTAATATCAGAGCCCTGGAAATTCAGCTTGGATTTTACCGTGGGAACAGCTACATGTCATTTCAGTGTTTTGGTTTCCTGCATTTAGTCTGACTAGTAGCAGAGAGGAGTCAAACGTTCTGGAAATGGGTGTTTTACTAGGTCCTGAGAGACTAAGGGATTTGTGTGTGTGTGTGTGTGTGTGTGTGTGTGTGTGTGTGTGTGTGTGTGTACCTGAGGCTGTGGAGAACGAGGCTTCCAGCTGACTTTGTCTCCTCAACAGCAACTCCTCTCTCCTCAGAGCTGCCACATACTTGGAGTAGGACCACGACAACTAAGGGAACATTTCCAGAAATCCAGTCAAATCCAATGTGATTAGAAAAACGGTTCAATTAGGGGATCGAGTTTCTCCTTTATAGTCTGTGGTTAGAATTGATGAGGCCTTGTTTGGACTTCATGCTGTAATTGAGTTTATCTTCATCGCGGCAGTTTTTACTTTAATATGTTGTGCTTTCAGATAGTTATCAAAAGGAAATCATTTAATTTGGTTTGGCTCCCTTCATATGATACATTTTACACAAACACATCTTCAGCTCTACATTCATAATGTTTCCCCATTAGGACATTTAGACTGTTCCTTACCGGCTGTGTGGGAGTCTGCACTCTGCTCTGTGTCCTCCACTGTTTTTTTCCACCTTTTCCCCCTTGTTCTTCTTCTACCTCATCTTCGTCATCCATCTCTTCCTCCTCTCCAAAATTGGACTCTGGTCTCTCCAGCTCTTCCTGAACAAAACAAGTCAGACTGAATAGAGTTAGTTTTTACTAAATTCTTTCTTGTTCTCGACACTATTGCAGTAGTTTTAGAGTTTTAGGTTGTTTAATTACATCTATTGCTCACTCATCAGCCTTTATTCCCTCTCTGTGGACTGTTTCCTCACCTGAGCTCTTCTTCTCTCATCCTCCTCCTCCTCTTCCTCTTCCTCCTCTTTCCTCCTCTGTCGCCGTACTCTCGCTCTGTGTTTGACTCGTTTCTCTTGCAGCAAAGGAAGAAGTTGCTCCTCTTGGACGCTGCTGCTCAGCTCTTGAAACTCAGGCCAAAACTTCAGCAAAGCACTGAACACTGACATCTAAGTACACAGATAAAAGGCACACACATGCAACACTGGAAGGAATACACAAGTCATACACTTACACACATACACTACCTGTGCCTCTCTGAAGATGTAAGGGCCCAGCTCGTGGCGTTTCTCCAGAACATGCTGGGCCTGTTCAGGAGGGATGTCTATCTGCAGGGCAGGGGGCATGGAGGAGTTGATGAAACAGTTAATGATGGTGGAGATCTTCTGCTGGATGGTGGCCTCATCGCTGTGGGAATGACAGAGGTCCTGCATACGGGATGAGAGGGGACAGAGGACAAATGAAATATGTGGTAGGAACTATTTCTAATAACTTTATAATAATACCTGTATTTGTATAGCACTTTCTCAACAAGGTTACACAGTGCTTCACAAACTGAATGGAAATAAAACAATAAAATACAATTACAATAGTTGAAAACAACGTTAAGAGCTAAGAAAAATAGTGGGCAAGGCAAATGAGGCAAAACATTTGAAGCAATTATCTAAAAATGAGAAATGTGCTAGCAAGCCTCATCTCCTCAGGTAGAGACTTCCAGAGTGTCGGGGCCCTGATGACAAAAGCCCGGTCACCTTTGGTTACCAGCTTTGACCTGGGGACGACTAGCGCAGGTAGGCTTGAGGATCTCAGGTCAAGATTTGGAGCGTAGGGAGACAGTTCCACTGCTCCTGATATGTTTATAATATCACTGAAATTGATATTCCAGATTTGCAAATGGATTTTTTGAATTGAGATAAGACAGCTACAGAGGTTAAAGATCCCATATTTTCCCTATTAACTGCTTACTGAACGCAGTGGGATCTTACATAAACACTGTTTTTCTGCCAAAGTTCGAACTGTTTTTGTAATTTCACATGAGAGATTTCCATATTTGTGTTTTTCTCACTGGTTTGAAGTGGGGCTCATTTGGAAAAGGTGATGTCACATATTTCTGCGCACCAATCAGGATGGTTTGTGGCTGTTTGCTGATGTTTCCAGGTCACTGTCAATTACTTCTAATCAAATCAGACCTGGTAAAGCAGATTAGCAGAATTTGTGAGTGGTAAAAAAGATTAGGAGTTTAATTTGAGTTTAAGAAAACTTTGACTTTGATGGCTGCTTATTTAGTCATGGATATGTAATGTTATCGAAAAATAATTTTATGTTATTAATTCTAATACAAGTGAAACTACGTTTTTTTTAGGGGCCTTGAGATGAGGCATAAAGATACCATCAGCGAGCAGGATTTTTTTCTTATCATTAATGATTCCCTACACATACATTTTAATACATACAAATATTTTACTTGGTAAAATAATTTTTGTCTTATAGTTTTTCTAAAATAAAAGAAAACTAACTCACATATTAAGATTACTTCTCCTACTACTCACTGAAAAATACAGAATTGACGAAAATGCCAATTTTAGTTTTAAAAGTTTAACTGCTAGATACAAGATGTCTCCTACTTTACTAACAAAAAGTCCATTTTTAGTGTATATGCACAGGGGGTTTCAAGTTTCGACATTGTACACTGGCCAAGTGGAACGTAAGTGACATTTTGGTCAAAATTGAGTTTTATTTATCAGATGAAAGCTCCCGACTTCTACTGCCAAAAGGGTACTTGTGAATTATAAACCAATCCATAGTTATTAATCAAAAACCAAAAGACTTTACACTGAACTCTTTGAGCCTAAAAACAACATAAGTACACTTACTCACTTACATTTAAACACAAAATACTGTTTATTAAGTATATCGTCATCCACATGTTTATGAAGTTTTAATATTAAAGCTCAATGATGGTGGTTTTTGTTTTGGCTGTGCTGTAAAGTTGTTCAAATGTCACTGTCTGGTTCTCACCACTCATTGTGACGTCACAAAATCTTGTTCATAATAACAAGTCGTTCCCCCCTTTGGCAAATGAATGTGAAAACAAACTGCACACACATCATTCTGCACAGTGAAGCCCAAACATCCAAGTGAAGAAACAATGAGCAAATTTTATTGGAGGGAGACTTAAAGTATTCCCTAAATTAATATGGAGGCACACAGGAAAGATGAGACAAAGTCAAAAGGTGCACAGACCGTGTGACCCACCAGCACATCAACCTCCAGCTGTTTTTGCTTCTTGTACCTTATATCTCTGCACCTCCAGCCAGAAGAGCACATCATTTTCTAGGAAGTCTCCCTTCAGAGAGACAAAGTGCTGGAACTGCGTACAAGTGACGGGGTTGAGAAGGATCCGTCGAAACAACAGGATCTCTTTGGAGGAACTCATCCACAGGCCCTCAGCCTGCAGGGACACACAGCAGAGGATGTTAGGGTGGTAAGGACACTGTAAGCTGTTAGTTTAACTTTTCAGGAGAGGACAATTCCCTCAGGGATAGATAAAACACATGTAATCACCTTCTTATGTGTAAACATTATAACAAAACACAAAACCTTATAAATGTGTCAGTGTTAGAGGATACAGTACAGTGCGCTCCTGAACAACAGCAGTAGAGATGATCTGTGACCTATGAGCTCCAGTCTTTCTTAGCTCACAGAAAACTGAGATAATGATCCTCCTTTATCCAGAAAACCTGCTCTTTGCCAATGATGAGATAATGATCATAAAGACGATAGTCACAATCATGTATGAAAACTCCTTCCTGTAATCATCCTGCTTGAAATGTGAAATGTTCATGTTTTATATCTGCGTTCTGCTGTGGAGCGGAGATGAGAGGACAGGAACAGAGCTGCATGGAAAACACTCCAAACACTATTAAAGGAAGGTTAGTAATGCTGATGCTTTAATCTTATTTATCCTGGATCCAATTTGGGAATACTAACCACAAGGCCAAAATGGTGTTTGACAAAGCCAGTGCTCGAAGCCAAGTCATGAACTAAATCACACATGCTTTCAGGCCAGGAAATGCCTTATTTCTCTCCATTCAAAATATCCAGCCTCCCCAGAGGATTTCTCCTTACCTTCCAGGCTTCTCTCCTCGTTCTGCGTCGACGGTAGACGTGCTGTGCGAGCCTGTCTGCTGCTTGGGGCTACCACACACAGACACACACAAAAGGTCAAAAGTCAGAAACTGAGTAAACTAGAATTAACAGACACTGAACACCTCTCAAACCTCCCTGCTCTGCACTCGGCTGCTCTTTGTCACTGCCAGTAACTAAAGCTCTCTCTCCTCTTTTACCTTTAACCTTCCCTCAGTCTTTATTTCCTCCGCTCTATTTCCTCTGATCTCCGCTTAAAGCAATGTTTACCCCTCTGATGTCATCTGTCTCCCACCCCCCGGCTTCTCCATCCGCACCTTAACCCTCTTTTCCACCCTTCCACTCACCTCCTCCTGCAGCGTGTAACGCTAAACTACGTCTACCTCTCATTACTTAATGAGAGGATCCTTGTGACAAAACATCGTAAACTTGATAATATAATGAGGCAGAGCAGCGGAATCTGGGGTTTATGCGTTACCACCTGATGAGGCAACCTGAGAGAGCGACTGAACAGTGACAGTGTTTAGTGGTTTCTCATATAGCAGAGTCACTAATGTGTGTCTGGCTTATCACTGTTTACTCTCTAGGTCGTTATACAGCAGGGATCTAATGCTATAATGGAAAATAAAATTAACGTGATTAATCATTTCTGTACATGGCAAATATCCTGCTCAATAATGGCCATGTGTTATGTATAGAAAGGCTGAGGACATTTAAAGAGTAACAAAAGCTATCATTTATAAACCTAAACAAGTTGGAACACATCAAAACCTAAAGATCATTGTTTTTAATCCTACAATAATGTATATACTTTTCCATATCATTATGACAGCCGCATGAACCTCTGTGCAAATACTGTCCATGAGCATGGTGTCCATAATGTCTGACATCTAATGACTTACTCACTGATGACTTTAAAGGAATACTCAACCCCCTAAATGACCATTTGTTTATCAATTACTCATCCTGTGTTATGTTGAATTCCTGAAGAAAACCTTGTTTTTCTCGCATGCCTCCATTGAACAAAGAATCCAAACACAGAAAAAAGTCTTTATGAATTGAAGTCATTGGGGTCCGCGTTTAAAAAAAGCAAAACTAGATCAAAACACCTGTCATCAAACCCTCGCACAACTCGTGCAGCATAATCTCATTCATCCTGTCCAGCTTATCCACTCCATTTTTTCCCAAAACAGACAGCCCTTTCCAACCGAGGTAACTTATGATGCTTTGATAAACGTCACTGTATAGTCCATGTCAATCCATTAGCGATACAGATTCTCAGCTGAGGAATATGTCACAAATGCACTTTGTCCAACTTGTTGAGCTAAACCTTTACATGAAAGTCACCAAACTAATCTGTGCAATTACAGTAGTGCGTATTGTAGGCTCGTCTATAGCGTTGTGTTTTTGTTTTTTTATTTTACAAGGGGACCTACTGTATAAGTGATGCAGAAAGTCTGAGCAAGAATATTGTTATATTTTATTTGCAAGGTTGTTCTTGCTCTAACTAAACTATTTTATATGTTTGTAGTGTTCTCCATACAATAACGTTACCACTTTGAATCTTGCTTTCATGCTTGGTCCTGATAGGTTGATGTCTGTCTTGCACTGCTAGTATAATACAACTAATAGAACACTGACTAGGAAATTGATTAGTTGATTAGTATTGGTATTCGTCACAGATAATACTCAATCAGTAAAATTCATTTCACTTGTATGTGCATGTATCCACTAACCTGATTACCACAGATACATGACACTGATTTGAACAAATGCTCACCTCCACCAAAAGCATTTTAATGTGGTCGTTATATACAAAACTGTTACCTGATATCTCAAACCTGATGTAACTTAAGTGCTTTAGAACTACCCAAAGCAATAGTTTGCCATTTAGGGAAATACCCTTAGTCCTGTTCCTGCTGAGACTTGGGTAAGGAGATTAATGTCACTCTTAAGCCTGTCCATTAAACATTAAGCCACAGCCAGCAGCCAATAAACCAGCAAAATTATTATCTTAACATAAAGACTAGAAATAGAGGGAAACAGCAGCCTGGCTCTGTCCAATTGTAACAAAATCTTCCTAACAGCTCCTCTAAATCTCACTAATTAATACATAGTCAGCATCTTGTTTGTGCAATCCATAGAGAAACTGAAGCGTGGGACTTTTTCTTGGCTGGGACCAGTAACTTCCTAAAGTCTCTGCTGGTTTACTGGCAACTGCTCAGAACCAAGAAACAGCCCACCATATAATCCCCCATAAAACCACAGCTTTTTAAACATTGTTTTTTTTTTGGTATGGATTACATCAAGATATAACATGTTAATTAGTGAGCTACAGAGATCCCAATTTTAAACTTTGAACAGGGCCAGGAGAACCGTTTCCAGTCTTTATGCTAAGCTAAGCTAACTGGCTGTTGACTGCGGCCTTGCAAAAAAAGCCTATTTCCCAAACAGTCTAATTATTGTCTGCTTTTAAAAGCTTTTAAAGTTGTCTGTCTTTAGTGTATGATCACCCAAAAATAAGAATTTTTGTGTTTTTGTTACCTTACAATGAGCCGTTTATATCCACACGGGAAGCGGGTCCTCATCTACGGAGATCGCCATGTTCATCACAAGGTTTCTACCATAGCCCACAACAAACAAACCAAACACTGGCTCTAGATAGGGCCACCCACATTTTCACGTCATCCACCATAGTTAGCAGCCCCTCTATGACTTGAGCCTTGGAAAAACCCTGATTTTTTAAAAGTGAAACAGCTTTATTCAGTGTTTTTTGTGGTTTTAATCACCAGGTCCATTTATTTTGAAGAGGAAGAGACCTCTGTAGATGATTCAGCAGGTGGTAAAATCCTCACCACTAGATGCCACTAAATCCCCCTAAATCTTACACACTGGACCTTTAAACAACTTCTGCACTGAGATGACCAATTGCTTATGTTAGTGTTAAGAATCAGGATGTCCACCTTTGGTTTGTCTTTCACTCTCTCTGTGAACTCTGCTGTGGACAGGAACAGAGGCAGCCATTGTTTCTCAATGTGACTCCTGATGATGTCCTGGATCTCCACAACGACGGGGTTCGAGAGACATTCTAGCTTCAAACGCTCCAGCCCACCTGCCAGACGCAGTATCTGTACACACACAGAAGAAGATGCAGTCAAAGACCCAGTAGAGGCAGATGGTTGTGTGTGTTAATGTATTTGATATGAACGCTAAAGATATCTAAAAACATAAAGAACATATGAGGAAGACAGACTCAAAAAAAAAAAAAAAACCTGCCCACAGTGGGAAACTCCACTGAAAACCCCTCTCATTCCTGACTCCTGCTGTGTTCTTCATCATTCCCACAATCCCTCTGTTCTCTTCATCTCCCCTGCCTGCTTTCTGTCCTCATACATTGATCTGGCCATGTCTGCCTATTTATATCTTTTATATTTTCTCTCATCTCATTTTGCACGCACACAGCCATGCATGCACACATACACTCACACACAGGCTTCAGAAATCAGAACCAGTCGTGCCATTGGAGTGGGAGTCAGCAGATGAAAGGAGGCCAATCTGTGACTGGATGACTGAGTGATTGAAAGAGTGAAGGGCCAAAGCAGTAAAGCTGTCAGTCTCTCTACATCGCTCACGCAGACAAGAACCAATGCTGAGATGCAAGAGCGGCAGCCAGGCCCAATGCTACAGAGTTAGAAGCACTAGAATTGGCATCTTCACTCAAATACACAGTTAGAATCATTATTTTGATGGTATTTATGAGATGAGGGTGACAAATGACAAAGGTCATGCACCAGAGTTGAAGTGATGTCAATAAGTACACTTTATGTTTCTCTCTTAACCCAGTCTGCATCAAGGACACTCTGAAACCAGGGTTCTTCAATGGCCATTACTTTAAAATACTGTATAGCAGTGATTACTAACCAAGGGTATTTACCAGTTGGCGGGGGTCATGTGGAAAAGTAGCTCAGCAATTTTTTTTTTTTTTTTTTCAAAAAGGAAGAAATAAAAACCTGAATACTGGCTGTTGTGATCGAGTGCGTGAAAACTAGTTAACAAGCAAGTGAGAAGTCTGAAAATTAAATTCACAATGTTCAGACCAGTCTGTAAATGTTGAAATACCTAGCTAAAACTAATGAATAAATGAAAATAGTCATCTAAATGTAATGGGTCAATTGCTGAAATGGTTAAAATACAACCCCAATTCCAAAAAACTTGAGCAAAATGTGAATAAAAACAGAATGCAATGATTTGCAAATCTTTTATGATCTATATTCAATTGAATTCAGTTCAAAGACAGGATATTCAATATTCAAACTGATCAACTTAAATGTTTGGGGTTTTTTGTAAATATACACTCATCCAGAATTTGATGCCTTTAATGCGTCCCAGAAAAGTTGGGACAGGAGCAACGAAAGACTGGGAAAGTTGTTGAATGCTCAAAAAACATGTGTTTGGAACATGCCACATGTAAACAGGTTAAGTGATAAAAGACTGAAGTGTCATGACTGGGTATAAAGGGGCATCCTTGAAACATATCGTTGTTCACAAGCAAACAGTCCAACAGTTTGAGAACTCTCAACATCCAATTGCAAGGCATTAAGTGATTTCACCATCTACAATCCATAATATTATCAAAAGCTTCAGAGAAGAGAATCTGGACAAATCTCTGCTCATGGGGAACAAGGCTGAAAGCCAGCCCTGAATGGCCATGACCTTTGACCCCTCAGACTGCACTGCATTAAAAAATCAACCTGATTGTACAAAGGATATAACTACATGGGCTCGGGAGCACTTTGGAAACCTACAAATATATGTTAAGACTCTACCATCCAACAACAACAACAACAACATCCAGACACACTGCTGACTTCTCTGGGCCCGAGCTCACCTGCGAGGAACTGACACAAAGTAGAAAAGTGTGCTGTGGTCTGACGAGTCCACATTTCAAATTGTTTTTGGAAACCATGGACGTCCTGTCCTCTAGGCTAAAGAGAAGAAGCACCATCCAGATTGTTACCAACACAAAGTTCAAAGCCTGCATCTGTGATGGTAGGGGATGTGTTAGTGCCCATGGCATCATGGGTCACTTGTGAAGGCACCATGAACGCTGAAAGGTACATACAAGACAATGTGCCACATTCTGAACATGTTACAACAGCGTGGCTTTGTAGTAAAAGGGTGCAGGTACAACACTGGGCTGCCTGCAGTCCAGACCTGTCTCCCATTGGACATGTGTGGCGCATAATGAAACACAAAATACAACAACAGAGACCTCGGACTGTTGAGAAACTGAAGTTGTATAACAAGTAAGAATGAGAAAGAATTTCACTTTCAAAACTTCAACAATTAGTGTTGTCAGTTCCCAAACACTTACTAAGTGTTGTTAAAATAAAAGGTGATGTCACTCAGTGGTAAACATGCTCTTGTCCCAACTTTTCTAGAACATGTTGCAGTCATCAAATTCGGAATTAGTGACTATTTACATAAAACAATCAAGTGTATCAGTTTGAACATTAAATATACTGTATTTCGATTGTACTCAATTGAATATAGGTCAAAAAGCTTTTGGAAATCATTGCATTCTGTTTTAGTAACCCCAACTACAAACAACGGACCAACATTTGAAAAAGTTGCTAAACGTAATTGTTGAAAACTAGCTTGCATTAAACGTATTGGATACATGGATGAAATAAAGTATAACACATTTGAAATAGTTAACTAAATGTCTTGAATAAATAGTTGAAACAGCTAGCGTCCAATGTATTGGATACGAAGTTTAAATAGTATTACACATCTGAAATAGTTAGCTTCTGCCACAAGTGGTAGTGTTACAAATGGAAATGACCAAACCGACCTAAACACTTTTGCTTAATATAATTAATAATGTTAAATAAAATCCAGTTTCAAATCAATTCAATTGAATCCAACAACATTTAAAATGCAGTGATATGGATGAAGGGGTGTATGCGATTATCTGGCAGGGCTGTGGGGGTATGTCACAGAAAAAAAAAGGAAAAAAAATTGGGAACCACTGTTCTATTCATATGAAATAATGCTCATATCTGATACTGTATAAGAAATACTACATAGCAACCACCTCTGTTGTCCTAAAAGACATATTAAGGCTCACCGCTCTGTGTCCTATCTACTCATCCTAGCTCTACACAGCATGCCCTCCTGCAGTAATCCTAGAATCCAGAAACCTAATCTCAGACTATAAATGTCAGGAGAGATTTCATCCTACTGTCATTGTTACTGGAGCTGGTTTTCTTTGCGTTTCTGGATCCAAACCACACTCTTCTTCTTCTCATTTTAATTCTAACCATGTCCTCTCATCCCACCGACACCCTGCTGTCAGAGCTGTCAGCGTGAAGTCTGCATGATGCCAACGAAGGCAGATGGGAAATTGTGTGAGAGCCGCAGCAGCCTCTGTTTATCAAATCTGGATGTTGAGCCTCAGCTGGAGCTCACATCCCAGTTTAGGATTGTCATGTCATGGGCACCATGTTTCTGCTGCTGCCTCTCTAATGCTTTCCCAGGAAGCTGACAATAATTCAATTCCAACGGAGATGCAAAAATGAGTACGTTTCCCAATAAAACCGAACATATTGTATTTTCATATATCACATGATTGACTGACGTACATCATTCTGTTGCTCCGTTGTGGCGGGGCTGTCAGAGCCAAAGAAGTACTTCCTGTTGAGGTATTTGGTTGCAATATGAGACGATCTCTCCTGTCTGACAGCCTCATCCTTCTGAGAAGTCCTTCTGTATTGTTCCAGATCCAGCCAGCATGTCAGATGGATACTGAGCAGAAACACACATGTTCACAACAACCATGATATTCTTACATTAACTTCAGTGCATTGTATACATCTCACACACATTTTTGTGTGTATTTTCATACTGCATTCATTTCACTTTAATGTGAATATGACACACATTGTACAAGTCAGGCACAGTGTCATGCTTTAAATCTGTTGTATATACATATTTGAGTAAAGCAGGGCACATGAGTCTGAACAAAGGACAAATGTCTGATATACCAAGTATGTGGTTATACTGCTGCTCACCTGGCATCCTGATTCTTTAGGAAGGACATAAAGTGCCCAATTTCATGGCGGTGACGAAGTAAGGAACCTAGACGATAGCCTTGGTAATTTGGAGACACTCTGGACCAAGAGTCAGATGCCTGGGGGCCCTTTGAGGAGGGAGTTGAAGGTGTGTTAGGAGAGCGAAATAGCATGGAACCACTCTGCTCCACCTGTAGAGACGCAGCGGCAGAAGGGAGAGAATAAGAGACAGAGATGGAGCAAGAAAGAGAAAAATAAGGTGTGGTACAAAAGTCTTAACAGAGATATTTCCACATCACCTAATACTACCCTCAGATGTACTTAAGTCACCGCAGTATGACACTATTTTAAATGGCACGTTAAGGCCAAGTAATATAGTCTTGGACCAGTATATAACCAACATAGTTACTAAGCAATACATAAATACTGGAGGGAGGCCATTTTCACATTATTGACATAAGCTGGTTTATGCTCACAGGTGTGTGTTTATTGGCTATTAACTATGGACCAATGTTTTATAAATCTGTGGAACTCGTGGATGCTGGCTGACCTGTTTCAGTCGGCACTCGGATTTCTCGTGCAGACTTTGGAGTTCCCTATACTCCGGACTGTTGATGAAGCGCACCTCCTCCTGCACACGCACCTGGACACACACAAGTACATAAAGCCAGTTACAGCTGCAACGATTTGTTGATTAATTGGGTAGTCAATCAAAAGAAAATTGATCAGATACTACTTTAATAATCAATTCATCATTTATCAATATTTGAACAGTTGGTCAGACAAAACAAGGCATTTAATGACATCACCTTGTGCTAACATTGTGATCTTCACTGTGTTCTGATGTTTCATAGACCTAACAAATATACAAATAAACAATTGGTAGATAAATCAATACTGAAAACTGTTAGTTGCAGCCCTAAAGCCTGAAAACCTTACAAATAACTCTAAACATGTTTATGTTGCTGCACATATGAATATTGTACAGACTGACTGGATATTTTCATTGTGTAATTGTGTGAGAAAGCCTCTTTTTCCTCAGTGGGGCCAGATGTCTGAGTGTTGCATATCATGTCAGTAGAGCTCGTCAAAACAAGGATGTTTATCCATCTGAAAGCCAATTTCTCTCATCTGTCGACCACTGTGCCAGCTAACCTGTACATATAAGAAAACCCACTTTCTCTACATAAAAGGGAAGTGAATCAAACTGTAAATACACTGTGGTTACCTTCTGGAAGGACTCTTTGTCCCTGCTGACCAACAGTGTCCATGGCTCCAGCAGGATATTCAGTACGTGTTCCTCAACCTTGTCAAACAGCTCCTCAAAAGCGGGCATCAGTTGGTCATACACCTCTCTTCTGATGTCTTCATCAACACTGATACTCCTCTTGGCAGAGCTGAAGAGATAGGTGGAGTAAAGGAGCTGAGAAGAGAAGAGAAGAGAAGAGAAGAGAAGAGAAGAGAAGCTCATAAAAGTGTCATCACTGTAGAAACATTTCTCCTTGCAACCACCATCACTTCCATCATCACTATTGTTCAGTGCTCTCATACACAATATTCACTATCTCTCATCACTGCTGCCATCACACCACATAAATGTCACTCATTTAACCCTCTTGGCCACGGCACGATGGAAAGACCATCTAAATGTCATTCCTTTGGTGAACTAAAGGTTAACTGAAGGAAAACAGATTTCACTGTGAGGTATTCTGGACCGCTCCACTCAGCTTTCCTCCCTGGTCCAGCTGTAGCCAGACAGGGTGGTTCTGGGTGACTGGACTGGCGCAGAGCTGGGGGGGTCTGACTCACTTGTTTTTATGGGCGTTTAAATTTCTCCACTTAGTGAGGGGTAAAGAGGGCAGAGAGAAGCAGAGAGGGGAACGGGAGTGGCAGGCCAAGACAGCACGCAAACAGCAGAGTGTGGTGAGCAGGTGTGTGAGTAAAAGGGAGGGTAACATTAAATGTTATGTTCAATCTCTTTTTCATTGCTTTGGTATTTTATAACTGGTAGCTTTTTATACTTTTTTTTTATTTTTTATTTTTTTGTTCTCTGCAGCTTTAATTCTTTGTGATTCATTCTTTTTCCTGGCGTCCTTTCTAAAAGAGGCCTCTTTATCTCTCTGGATATCGTATTCCACCGCATGAGTAAGCATCTTAATTAAAGTTTTGAATTAGCTATAACTTATTTTTTCCATAGAAAACATGAGTTACACAAATGTACCTATTTTTTATTATTTGAAATTGGTTTGATGTTTCACAGTTGGCCTTGGCAGCTAAATTTGAGAAGAAACCTCAGAAAAAAATCCCGAAATCATGAGCAATTTAATGCCTTGAATAGAGTGTTGTTATTTCTTGGCAAACGGAAAAGCAAAGTTATACAAGAGGAGTATTTCATGACAGGAAAACCCCGACAGACGCACCAAGGTACCAGAAACTATCTGCGGAAACAGCCTAGACTTGACTCCAAGTGGAGACATCTTATCAAATCCACTTAGTCTAAAACTGAAACTGCAAAAATACTCAAACTGTCATACCACACACCAACTGACTAACCATTGCATTTATTTGTAAAATGAGAAAATTCTTCATGGATTATTGCTTTGTGGAAAAAACAATGCCTCCTTCTCCTCTAGGCTGCAACTAACGATTGTTTTTATCGTCAATTAATCTGTTGACTGTTTTCTGAGTTAAATGATTAGTTATTTGGTCTATGAAATGGCAGAATTGATAAAAAAATGATAAGGGTTTCCCAAAGCCCTAAAATTAAGTCCTTAAATGTCTTGTTTTGTCCACAACCCAAACATATTCAGTTTGCTGTCAAACAGCAAAAAACAGAACCCAGAAAATCTTCATATTTAAGAAGCTGGAATCAGAGATTTTTAGTTGGTGTGAGATGAACGTAGGACACCCCCAAGTGAGACTTTTAGCAGAACAACTTTGGTCTTGATCTTGTGTTTGTTTGAGAGTGTGTGTGTGTGTGCCGACCTGTGCCTCTCTCTGTATTCTGTAGGGGTCCAGTCCATCCTGATAGAACAGCTCATGGTAGTGCTGCAGGTCAGTCCAAAAGTTAACGGCATTCTCCCAAAGCTGAGACAAGAAAAGAACCTCACTAACCTGTCATCATGGACTGTGATTATCACATCAAATTTTAAAAAAAAAAGTACACTTGAGATGTTATTGTTCCACGATAATGATTATGTTTTAATTTGCAATCATGTTTAACTGTGATGGACTGTATAAAAGTGCAAACAATTCAGTAGCTGCTATTGTACCTGGTTTCCAGATTGTTCACAGAAGTTTGTGAAGTATAAGCCGGCATACGAGTCAACACAAAGAGCCAGTATCATCTTTTCCATTCTTCTGCTGCTCAGTAACTGACTTCTGCTAAAATATAACTGGTGAAATACATAAACAGAAAAAAAAATATTTCCATCATTGCTTAATCGGACAATTATTTTTTAACAATTCATTGTTAAGTTATTAGAATGTGCAAAAAACAGTGATAAATGCCTATAACAATTTCCCACTGCCAAAGGTGACATCTTGAATAGCTTGTTTTGCCTGATCCAAAATCCAAAGATATTCAAGTTAATAATATAAGCCAGAGAAATGTAGCAAATCTTTGTGTTTGATAAATGACTTACAGTATTTGCTACTGATTTTCCATCAATCAACTGATTAACTGACTAATCATTTCAGTTCCACTTAGAACTATAGCAGCCAAAATACATGACTGCATGTCAGGCAGTGAGCCCACCTGCTGCCAATGAAATCACAAGGTGGACCACACAGACAGTAAGAACTTCATTCTCTTGTTTTTGCTTTGTTTCACGTGTAGCTTCGGAGGTTTCTTTTCCCCAAAAGTTTCATGCACCAAGTGGTATCATATTGTAATATTCCTACCTGTGTATGGACAGCGTGGGTGGACTGGGGCAGACACGTGTCAGGGCCGAGGGGAGGCAGAGTCATAGAACCATGGTGGGGCTGTATGTCTGATAGAGGGATAGCACAGCACTCTGTCCACAGCTCTAGATGAGGGGAGTCATCACGGTCGTCCTGAACATACTGGGACGTCCAGAACCGAGGAACCCTGTGGGAGAGGGGGAGAGAGAATTACCAAGGACATTTATACAAAGACTTAAACCTATGTGTAAAATTACAGAACAGCATGCTATGATCTATCTTATTATCATATGATGGCAAGTGCAAAGGTTATTGCCTTACATTATATGTAGTCTATCAAAAAAAGTAAAGTAGAAAGTCATATGTATGGACACACAAAACCTATAAACATTGCACACAATACTGCAAATTGTGAGTCTCACCAGTAGGAAAGCAGAGACTCAGTGAGGCAGGGCTGAACTGAGTGCAGTTTCTCCTCTGTCCAGCAGGGGGAGGTAGTCAGTCCCAGTCTGGAGAGCAGCTCCACATTGAGACTGCTCTGGCTGCTGCTCAGCAGGTACCGGCTCCTCATCAGGACCAAATTTCTGATTAAAATAACACATTACATTGCTTCTATCAGATGTATTCATACATTTCCAAAATACAAGTACCATTCCTTTTTCTTTTTATAGCTGCAGATGCCATCCAAAGAGTTATTACTTCAATATCAAACCATGGTGGTTAAACAGAGGCTGTTAGATTTCGTATCAACGGTAAAAAAGACCAAGTTTATTTCACCAGAATGACAACTGAGTTTTATGATGTAATGTTTACCGGTTCTTCCGCTGTCTGTTCTGTGTAGTTTTCAGTCTCTCTATATCCATCCAGAGGTTAAGAAGTTTCTCTCCTGGCGTTCCTTGCAAAAAGTCCTTCAACTCATCCAGGCCTGGTCTATTGTCATGGCAACAGGTACCATGGCAACAAATATCAAGGATATTTTCCTGGTCTGTGCCTCTGCTCCCCACCTCCCTGTTCTTATTAAACCACTCCGTCTTTTCTTTAACTCCACTCCCACTCTTGCCTTCTTGAACTTTCTCTTTCTTTCCCCCCAACCTTTCTTTGCCTCCATCAGCCGAGTGCTGGCAAACTTTACATTCACAGGATCTGTCTGTGCTGGCACAGTTTGTCTGGTCTCCTGATTTGCTGGAACGGTCAGATGTGTTTGCCTGGCTCTGAGCATCCATCGCACACAGTGCATTGTTAAGCACCTGTTTAACAACTTTGGCAGCCAGGTTCTCCAGCTGTAATTCAGAAGACTCATAATTCTGGCAAGCTGATGGCTCAGTGAAGTAGAGCCTCATGTCTGGTTGTGAGGTCTGAAGTTCCTGGGTTCTCTCACTTATAAGGTTAAAAGACAAGGAACATGAGGAGGACAAAGAGGAAAAGATACATGGGTTCTCTGGCTCAGAACAGCCGGAGAAACATCTGGATGATTCCCTGCATTCTGTGATGATATGTTTCTTCTGGCCAGAGTGTAGACTCCTAACATTGTGCAACCCCACTGACCCTGAACAGCGAGGAAAGAGAAGGTAAGAGTTGTTACCTCCATAACTAGAATTCAGTCTGCACACACATACAGCAAACATACATGAGCAAATGGAAACTCACTCAGATAAATACCTTGTTTAGCTGAAATGTCTTGAGAATGTGAGCATGTTAGGACTTTTAGGAACTTGTTATTTTCCTCGTCAGATTGGGAGGGAAAATGCAGTTGTGGGGCTGACAAGGTGGTTCGACCTGAACTGCCTTTCCACCTCTGGATTGGGAAGATTGGGTTCCTCTGAAACAACAACTTGGCTAGTCTGGGAAAGAAAAGAAAAAAGATACACTACCAGTCAAGGACAACACAAGCATTTGTCTTTTTTTAAGCACTCATGCTACAATAAATGGAATCAACAAACTTAGCTATTGTTATTTCTGCATCACAGCATGTATGTGTAGGTTGTAAGTAAGCGTCAGGGCCCCATCCCTCCACAGATCAGATGACTGACTAAGGCCTCACACAAGATAGTAGGGCAGGAGGGCAACTGATCTTCAAGAGACAGTTAACCCCAAGATTAAAATTACACCAATTCCTCTTACCTGTAGCGCAGTTTTCATTCTAGATTAATTCAGTGTGAGTTGCCAAGTGCTGGAGATATCAGCTGAGGAGATGTCTGCTGTCTGTCCAGTATAATAGAACTAGATAGCACACAGCTTGTGGTGCTCCAAGTGCCAAAAAAATATACACTTGAAAGACTCAACAGCGATGTCTCTTTCCAGAAGTCATGACCCAGTTAGTCAAGATAATCCACAGACCTTGCTGTGAGCAGTTTGATGGAGGAAGTATCTTCTTTCTACCAAACTACACCCAGCAAGTGTATTATCGTGCAGTAGGAATTGTGCATCAACTCACTGACGAGAGACACATGCTCATGACAACGTGAGATAAAAACATTAATCCCCAGCTGAGTTGGCTAGCTCAGTAATGCTAGCTGACCTAGCAGTAGTTGCAGTATTTGTATCTGTGTGGTGATACAGTTGGCAGATGTAGTTAAAGTCAGAAAATAGTTCCTCCATGAAACTGCTCACAACAAGGTCTGTGGATTATCTTGAGTAATCAAACCATGAGCTCTGAAAAGAGACATTGCTGTTCAGTTTGTTAAATGTATTTTTTGGCACATGGAGCACCACAAACTGAGTGTCATCCAGTTCCATTATATTGGAGAGAAGGCAGACATTTCTCCGCCCGAAGTCTCTCACACAAAAACAATCTAGATTGATAATAACACTACAGGTAAGAGGCAAGAGGCAAAATATGTATTTTTGAATTAAGGGTGAACTTTCCCTTTAAACACTGTCACAAAAAGCTAATATCGGTATGCCGCACTGTGCTGCTATACCAGAATAACTGAGAAAATATTGTACAGTCGCAGCTAACTAAAGCAAACAATCTTGAAGCTCTAGGTTTGTATAAAGTATTTTTCAGGTTGTAGCAGAGCTGAGGCCATGACAGTTAAGTCAGCAAATAAAGAGAGAAACTGTAGGGGCTATTAGAAGCACAACCTGGGTCTGATAATAATTTCACAAATGAATGATAAAAATTGAACAATAAGTTCAGTAATAATATAATAGCACGTCACTAACATGATATAAATAACATAGAACTATGCACTACTAAAACCAATGCAGAGTGTAGAGGTGGAACAACTTTTGTTTTGTACATGTAGTAGGTCCAAAAACAAATCACCCAATATGTGTACTACCTGTATTCATTGTAGCAGTCACTTTGAAGGAAAAAGGGCAATCTCTCCTTCAAGATCCACTGAATTCCTTGCTCTCTGTCCAGACACTGCAAAGGTCAGGGAGACAGGTCCTTCAAGTCAGACCTCTAAATCTTCAAAACCAAAGATGTTCAACTGTTGATCTCCACATAAAGGAATTATTCACTACTTACACAGACAGTGTAATGGTTGTCTACTGGAGGGGTTCTGGCCAGCACTGTGGGGTCACCGGTAAGGACTTGTGATTTGCTGCGGTATAAGACTGATCTGATTCTTCTGGAGACAAACTCAGCCGCCTCACTCACTATCTCAAACTGCCCAGTCTCCTGGTTGTACAACAAAGCCTCTGGGAAAGACTAGACAAAGATTCAAGGGTGTTAGAAGGGTGTGGACGTTTTGTCAAAGATATGCTACATTTATACATCAGGACTTCCTTACTGGCAGAGTTAGGAAATCATTAAAGAAGTGAGCCAAAACATCATCAGAGGCAAGGCAGTTCTCCTGCATGGAGATAAAGAATAAACACTATGTGAAGACATTTTGCTCAACTCAAAGTTCTGTTACACATGGACAAAGTTATTAAGTGTTAATAATCAAAACATATACTTACAAAATTGCCAGCAGTTAGATGGGAAAACTCTTCAAATACAAAGTAAAACTTTAGTTACCAAACCAACATTAGCTCCAAAAAGTAAACTAAAATTTCTTAAAAGTACAGCTCTTACCTGTTGAAATTACTCCACACATTGTTCACTTCAAAAACACAAATGCCTGTACAGGTTTATCAAACTAGCTGTCCAGAAAGTCGAGCCAGGCAGTCACATTTGAACACTCGACCACAAACCTCTCAGTGTAATTACAGACACACTGCAGGTTGCTATGGAAGTGGACTCATTTTCAAAACACAGGGGGCGGTAAAAGTTTAACTAGAGAAGCCCAGAGAGAAACAAAGGCAAGTTAGTGTTTCCGTCTGTGTTGCAGCTTGAGACCTAAAAATTACTTTATTCTATAAGGTATTCACATAAAGTACATTACTATAACTATCTGTAATCAGTAACATGTAGTAAAAAGTCAAATGAGAAGAACACTGTTGCAGTTAAGACATGGCAAGGTCAAACCACTAGATGGCGCCAAAAGCCGGCAAATTCAATTGTACATACAACAGACTCAATTCAGAAAGGCCCAAATATTTCACAAATGAGGGACAAGTGTATATGTAAAAAAAATCTAATTTATTTTAAAACTGCTGTGAAAACACATTGGTAAAAGCTGAAAATCTCAGGAATTCCAAAAAACATTTTGTACAGTTGATCGATGTGTATGGAAAAGTACATCAACAGCAAAATTCATTGTTCTGCTGACAGGACTTCCTTCACATTCATAATTAAAAACACACAAAGTAAGAACTGTGTTCAAAAAAAAGGGGGTGAAAATACAGTACAAAGACAGGTACAGAGACACACTGATAAGTACAGGAGTTGCTCTCATGTACTGGCTACAGATCAATTTCCTTATTGCTAAGCCTCGATTTCACCATTAGGTAGAAAAAAAAAATACTTAAGTGACTTTGGCATAGCAAACAAGAACTCATAGTCTTCTAACATTTCGCTTGCTTTGAGCGCTTCCTGGAAGAATTATGTCCTTCTTGCGACGGCCTACAGATTGGCTGCCACACTCTCTAGAGCCGTGGAAAGCACACAAGCAGGTTGTGCAAAACTGGAAACCACAGTCAGCTCTGCTGCAAACTCCTTCCCCTTTCACTGAGTGACACCTTGCGGGATGCTGACATCGAGGGCAAGGCTTGAGGCACTCATCGTTGAAGAGAGTTTTGGCAACCTGAAAGAAAAAAAAAAAAAAATAGAAATGACTTAGAGTAAATGTTTCATGTGAACTTCCCTCGGCAGTTCGTCAGTAAGATAAATTAGAAACCCCATTCATCCTCCACTGAACAGCAATCAGCACAAACAAATTATATCCAAACATTACATATAATCTTTTTAGCGTAATGATTTTAAAACTCACTTCTAGGAATTTATCCCGTTTGCTGCTACTGCCGCCTGAATTTAAGATGCTGTGCTGTGATGGGGTTAAAGTGCTATTTCCTGACTGCGGGGTGCAGTAGCTGGACGTCCGAGACTGAGCCTGAACCGTCTTGAGGGCTGACCTCTTAAGCAGAGCCAGTCTTGTCTCTGCTTCAGGGACATGGACAGCACCACCCAGCTAAAAGACATCAGCACAAAGTTAGAAGCTCATTTCAACTATTAGTCACCATCAGTTGATATCCGTACTGACAAGCTGCTGGATGACAGTGAATCAGTCATTCATGTCGCTTTCCACTGAATCACATCAGACAAAAAACTGCTATTGTACTGGTCTCTATGGGATCACATTTAATTCACACTGCTGACCACACACACACATAAATGTCATAGTTAATGCTTTTCCTTCGCTGGCAGATAGAAAATAACTGCTTGAGGAAAACAGTAGAGCTGCAACAATTGAGGACTCCAGCTTGTTAAATGTGAATATTTTCTGTTTCTTTACTCCTCTATGACAGTAAACTGAATATCTTTGGGTTGAACAAAATAAGACATTTTAGGACATCCTCTTGGGCTCAGGGAGACAATAATTGCCATTTTTCACAATTTTCTGACATTTTACAGACCAACAACTAATAAAGATTAATCGGGGGGGAGGGATCAACAGATAAATTGATAATGAAAATAACAGTTAGTTGAAGCCCTACAAAACAGCTCAAGCCACGGTGTCCTACATTACACCTGTATACAGATACAAGACTTTATTTTTATTGGCCAGCCATCAGCAATAGTTGCAAATATGGCAAATCGCTTACCTCAAGAGCGGCCTCCACTTCACTCAGGTAGTTTCTTCTCTTCAAACTAGCTCGCTTGTCTTGTTGGATGATTTCGTTCCACCTCTTGCACACCTGACCACAACTGCCAAACACAAATAGATGCATGCATGAGATCAGTGTTTTCAGTCCTCATTCCAACTTCAGTGCTGTGTGAGGGTTTGTTAGGCATCATGTTTTGATTAATAATTAGCCTTTATGTTAATTTCATATAGCACAAAAAGCAAGTCCTGTGCTTTGGTCTAAGCTAAGCATCCATAATACGCTGAATGAGTTCTACAGGATTCTGTCGAGATATTGATTGTATTAATATACTTATCTATAACTCAATGCTGCCATCACAATTTAATTATCAGTTTAACAAATTTTAAGTAAACAAACTACTTATCCTTTGAGAAGTAAGGAAGGTGTGCTTACCTGTAGATGCTCTCGGGGGTCAGGTGGCTGAGGATAACAGCCAGGATGTGCCTGAGGTTCCTCTTCTTCAGCTCTGTGAGTATGTCCACTTTCCCCAGGCCCATCTTCCTGCCAATCAGCCCTGCCAATGGCATGGTGGTCCTGAACCCCAGAACCTCTGTGGACTTCAGCTGGTCTTTAAGGCTCGGACTCTGGCCATCAAACATGTGTGCTCTCTGCTGGCACATAGCATGAACCAGCTGCAAAGCAGGAGTCAGAGAGAGATTGACTGGGGTTGTTCTGAGAGGAGTGACATCTGGTTTCGCTGGAGCTGTGCTAAAAGGTGTCACGTTTTGTGGCTTGGTGGTAGTTGCTCTTAGTGGGGTGGCATCATCTTGTTTTAAAGAGGTGAAACTATCAGAGGTTGTGCTATTAACACATTTAGCAGAAAGGACACTGCAAGGGGTGGCATCGTCAGTAAAAACCTCATCTTCTTTAGAAAGACTATGGCACTGACGAAGATATTCATGCTTTCCCTCTGCTGGGTCTTCCTCAGACTGAGAACCCCCTTCTTTAAGGGTTGAAAGCCTGTGTTGACGCTGCAAACGGGAGCGCCGCTTTGCCTCCGCCAGACTGGGGGTTTCACAGTTTCCTCTGGAGGACAAAAGGAGCAGCTCCTGATATGAGCCATCATGGTCCACAGAGGAGTCTCGGGATTTATCAAGGGAACTAAAACCACTGTCTTCACACGCAGACCTGTTCCAGGGTTAGAAGGTGGAAGCATGTTTTCTGATTAATGTAGGGAACATTCTTTTATTAATTGCTTCTCCAAGTACTTGGCTGAGAAAATGTACAAAAAAAATTAAAAAGTCAAATATCAAAAAGCACGTACCTGATATATCTGGGTGTATGTGTGGATGACGGTGTAGACAAGACACTTGAGCCGTCATATAGGTTATTGGTCACACCACTGACTGGTGATTCAGAGATTTCCTTAGACGAGGCAGGCAGGGATTTGATATAGCATGGAGTCTCAATATTGCTTTGATCAGATGCACGAATGCTCTCACTGAAATCTGCATCTGAGAGTGAAACTCTTCTTTCAAAACTGGCAAAGTAACCAGAGTTGAGTTTACCATCTTCAAGAGTGGAGGTCCTCACCTGAGTGAAGAGAAGACGACGTTTCCTACTAGATAGTGGCAGATCCTGCTCCGATTTTAAAGTGCTTGATGCAAAAGCCCCAGTCACAGTGTCTAGAGAGTCAAATGATGCACTGAGCCAGTGTTCAGACCTGGTGGAAGGCTCAGTTTTTCTGTTGCATGGTGACCTTGTGTTGTCAGTTTTGACATCTGTGGTGGCTTTGCACATTAGAAGTCTGTGTCGCAGTGAGGCATGTCTTTTGTATGCTTTAGGAGTTTCACACCAGCTAACTGCTGATGGCCGCTGTGTTCCTCTTGAGTCTTTGCCCAGAACTCCAACTGGTTCTCTGGTCTTCTCCTTAGGAGTGCCTGAAAGCCTGAGGTTCTCTTTAGGTGTTTCGCTGAATTCTACTGGAGACAAAGACCTACAGGAGTCGACTCTGCAGATGCTCTGTGGGCTGTGGAACAAACCTGAGTATCCACTGTCAGAGCAGTCATCATAGCAGTGCTGTCCTTTGCAGCTCGCATGGTAGACATTTGATTCAGGAGTGCACTGCATCTTCCTCCTCCAGCATGCACTTTTTGTCCCATACACTGTATTCACCAAGTGGGAATGATGTCAGCTGACCTGCAGACAGTAAAAAGTTGTGAGTGAGCCTACTCAAGGACAAATGGGCAGCAGTCAGGGACTGTTCTTCACTTATCAGAGGATGGGGGTGGCTGGGGTGGGATTTTTTTTTTTTTTTTACTCTCCCCAAAGCCACAAATCTTTTTTCCTTGTGCCCCCCTGAGTGACTTGGGGAGAATGCATGACCCTCACTCCGCCATAAATTTGTTGTTAGATTTTAAAAATGTTCTTTGTTGTTTGAGAGTTAATAGTTGAGGATGAAATCCTAGAGTTAGACAAAAAGTCTTGGTTTTTCACTCTTGTAATGAATGCTAGTTAGTTAGTGCAAAAGGGTTTATTTTTGGCAAAATTTTAAACGAAACATGTAGGATTAAGTGATTTTGATGAAACATCACTATTTTAAGCTTAGATTTGGTTAATATTTTCCTGAAGTAAAACTTCATCCCATATAATGTGAGAGACTGTCAGACATTTGAAAATCCAGCAATAACTTCTATTTTTACAGTTATGGCTTTCAAAAAAGGCGTAGTTTTGGAAATATTTAAAGAAAATATGCCTCGCAAAGCTGCCAAGTTTGGAAGACATGATTTCACTAGAAATCTGGAGGTAAAATAAATACAAAAAAGTGCCCAAGGAATGAGTCTTAAAACCAGGAAACTAGTTAGCATTTTTCACACTCCCTGTTCCCTTGTCATGAAGTAATTTGGATTTTTGAATGGGGTTTTAGTTAGATGCCTGTAAGAAGGTCTGTGGTTCACACAAGCTTAAGAGACT